TTCTTTCTTCATATATACATTACATACAACATAATTCTTAAACTGCAATTGGTCAGCAGAGATCACTCATTTATTCACAAGGAATGATAACATGTACCAAACCTGGAGTCAGAAAATTACTTTTACTAAAAAGCAGTCCTAGAAAGTCCACAAGGATTGCATAAAGACCAGAGAGGATGGTGTAAGCATGGGGATGGGGCCTGACCGCAGCATTTAACAGAGCCAATATGGCCTAAGCACTGCTGCTGAAGGGATGAGATCAGACCCAAGGGTACTGTTCCAGCTCTGACACGCCAACCTTCCAGGTGCACTGATTCTGAGTCTACACTTCCTGCACTGTCACAGGAATGGAGAGAAAGCAGAACCCAGCAAGGTGATTTTCTCCTGCGCACACCAAAAGAAAGTCCAATCTAAAACCTGAGGTGCCAAACTAAAACTTGTGGCTCCTGGCTGGTGTTTACATGCGGTTTTAGGCATTTGTGTAGCATGGTAAGGAGCTCTTACTCCACAGAAATGGACTCCTCGTAGTCTTTAGATTGCACTCCTTTTGTTTTGCTCTCAGCCTTTTATGAGTGTGGGTTAACTATGGACACAGGAAATGTTCATCACCAGCAGAAGTCTGCTCATGACGTGACTATGTTCTATACCGCCTGTGACAGTGACTCAACAGCATAAAAATTCAGTCTTAGGGATGAAACTTCCAGTAACCTGAACAAGTAACACTTCATAATGCCAGGAGTTCTCTCTCCCCAAAGCTCGTTAGAGATACACAGAGACTACTTTTCAAACTTTATGGCAAGATAATGCTTGATGAACATACACAGAGATAAGTCACACACTTGCAATCTGGTCTTACCTGCACACCTGGAGCAGAAAGCAGAAAAGCTATTAACATTTGCCTAAAGGCCTTTCTTGGATTTGGTCACTCTGATAAGGAAAACAAGGTTAAAAAAGAAAAAAGGTTAGCCACACCTGGTGGCACATACTTTAATCCCAGTAGCACCCAGGAGGCAAAGGCAGATGGATTTCTGTGAGTTCCAGGACAGCCTGGACTACATAGCTCCAGGGCAGCCAGAGCTATAACGGGAGACCCTGTCTCAAAAACAAAACAAGTGTGTGTGTGTGTGTATGTGAATGGTCTTATCAGTCAGTAAATAAGAGCCTTCCTTCCTTGTACTTATTCCATACTTTTCTGTAATAGTTACAGTTTTATAATTACAAAATCAATAAATGCTACTCAATTCAGATACACTGATCCCAGATTCCAGAGCATATGTCCTCACCATGAAGGGCTAGGTGCAGACAGACAGGCCTGGGGTGATGAGGCTGTACCACCTGCTGGCCAACTGTGATCTTTCGCATGTGCGCATGCTCTCTCCCTGGTTATTTTGAGACAGGGTTTTTCCTGTGTGTAGCTCTGGCTGTCCTGGAACTCTCTTTGTAGACCAGACTGGCCTCAACTCAGAGATCTACCTGCTTCTACCTCCTGAGTGCTGGGCTCAAAGGCGTATGCCACCACTGCCAGTTGCTGTGATCTTTATCCAATTTCCACCAAAACTTTGGCCCTGAAGTTCTTTAACATGTGGCATCTTAATTCTGGCCACTTAGTACTTGTATTCACAAAAACCAACAGCTGACTTTAAACATTTTAGCATTTGTCTTGTGTGGATTATAAATACATCTCCTCCAGAGATGGAAGAGCGCTTGTTCTCAGGGCTAAGGTAAGAAAAAGGTCCTCACCTTAGCTCCCTTGTACTCTTCTGAGACTGGAGACTCAGCTGTGCACAGCTTTAGAGTGGTGGTAAGAGTTCTTTTCAAAGAGGAAAAGTAAACGTATAGACTCCCAACAAAATCTGCTCACAGAAAAAAAAAAAAAAGCCACATTCTTTTGCAACCTCTAAATTGAGCAGATGACTAGACATAAAGGATAATCAATAGTATTCAATCTAACTGATTTCAAAAGATACTGCACACACGTCAAAAGGCAGACTGGCCTTTTTAAAGAACACGAACGAGCACAGCGTTTGTACCCAGGCTAAAAGTAATGTTAGGAAAGGGAGCTACAGTGTTCATGAGTGACCTCTGGAAGCTTATAAACACACTATCTTTCTCTCATAAAACCATGAAAAACCATTACCTATCTGGGGCTTCAGCTTCCTGAGTGCCCCCGTTTTTCTGAGAGCCGTCTTCGGTGTGCTTGTTGTGTGTTTCTTCACTCCGATTTTAAAAAAAAAATTCTCTCCCCGTAGAAACTTAGTGATACATAATCTTGCATTTTGGAGTCTGGCATCTACTATTAAGTGGGCTGGGCTGACAATTACTTTTCTGTGTTCTCACAGGCATGATTGGCATTTACATGCAAAATTGGGCCAAGACTTGCAAAGGAACAAGTGCTCTATGACCTCAGAAGCAGACACATTAAAAACAACAAGCTACACACTCCTCTGTTCTCAGCAGCCGCTGCATCCCAAGGGTGTAAATACAGCAATACACTCAACAGTCATTTGCCAAATACAGGCCAGCACGAATGGCTTCTGGCCTTTGGTTGCAACTGAATCTGAAGCTTTGCCAGCTGTTAAAGAACTGAAACATACTCTCGGTTCTTTTTCCAATTTAATCCATCATTTTACAGATGTGTAGAACACCTGAAAGCATAAAGTTATCAGAAACCTGCAACACTAAGGACAAATAAATAGAACCACCAGGATTGGGTAAAAATAATTCAAGGCACAAAATCTGCCTGTGCAATTCTGTATGGACCTGAAGCACACAATGAGCACTTTCTCCCTATTTTAGGGGCTTCGTAAATAGATGGAACACCAACCTAGGAACACGAGCTAAGTTGTAGGGGTTTCTTGAGACTTGCTAACATGGGGGAGAAACAAGTTCCCAAGAGAGTCTCCGAGCAACCCTCACTGGCATATGGGCTCGTGGCATATGGAGCACACAGTGTTTCTTTTTGCCAACTAACTTGGCATCCGCGAAGTAGCGAATGAAACTGAAGAATGATGCTGACTTCAGGTTGATTTTCTAGGCAGCCAGCTCAAGGACAGAAACTCTTTGCTGGGTTTGAGGCTAGTATGCAAGATGGTCCAGGGCTTTGCTTCAGCGATAGCTCAGAAATGATGACTAAGCAAGTCCGTTGTGAGGCCCCAAATTGCACAGTGAAACATTTCACTTGTAGGTCCCCCCACTCCCCACCCCGTGGGCTTATCAAGGAGCCAGCCATATGTAGGAAACTACTTACCTAGTTTTAAAATATAAAGATTAGCCTGGGCTGTTCTAAGGTCTATATTTGCAAGAAGAGCAAAAAGGTTAATTACTTAGGAAATGCTACTTTCTCAAGACTATACAGAGCACAAGTTTTGACCTCCCCTCCCCTTTGACAGCTTCTTTCCTAGCACTGAATCCAAAGAATTATTCAAGGTTAGTAATGAAGTGCTTTCTGCCTAGCTTAGCTTTGGGAACCTTCAAAGTTGTTTTTTTTTTTTTTTTTTTTGAGTACACTTTCATTCTCCTTTATAGCTTCCTTCCTGAGATCAACACATCTCAGGTTAGAGTACGTGTACATATAATAGCTTACTGGGGCTACCTGTGTAGCACAGAAAAGGAAGATGCATGATTTCATAATCCTTAGAACTGGTTCCTTCCCCGCTCAACACCCTGCCACTGCCACCTTTTCTGTTGTTGATCCCAAGGCTGTCGGACGGCATCCAAGCGAGCCCAGCTGTGTTTGGGGACAAGACTGCACATCTGCAGATTGGATTTACACACAGCTGGAGTATGCAAGAGAAACTAGAACCAACCTTTGCTTTCTGTGTTGTGAACATGATTCCAATTCACATCTGTGGCTTTCGAAAAAGATAGTAACAGGAATTTTCCAGGAAGATATTTCTTTCTGAGTACTAGAAAGTCTAACTTACTATACTGACTAAGGACTCCCTAGACCCCTAGGCTAAAGTCTACAGATGTTATGGTCTGATGATTATCACTGGCTTTATGACTGAGAAAGCAATTTAGCCTCTTAGAGTGGAATCTAAGTTCATAGTCTTTTAATTTTTAAAAGTTTCGTTTGCTTATTTATTTTGTATATGTGTGCATACGTGGAGGCCAGAGAACAAGCGTGGGAAGAGGTCTCTACTTCCACCATGTGTCCTGGAGGATGAACTCTACCCACTGAGCTATCTCACCTGCCCTAAATTCCTGTTCTTCATGAGAAGAAACATTTATATCACTATATTATTTTTATTTAAGAAAATAAGGAATATCAATTATTTAGTGGCAATAAAAGCCATTTCTAATATTCAAACTGTATCAGAAATTAACCCTGCCCCCAAACCTTCAGATGGAGTCTCACCATGAAGCTCCAGCTGGTCTGGAACTCACCAGGTAGATAGACTGGCCTTGAACTCACAGAGATATCTTCTTGTTTCTGCTTCCCAAATGCTGGGATTAAAGGTATGCACCACAATGCTAACAGTCAATTAGCACAAATTTCAACTTCAACAGAAAAATCAAGCCACTGATGGAGGTAGAAACAGAACAAAGGTTGGCTAAAAATACAACCAAAAGAAAGGGTGATAGCAGAGGTGACATGCTGATCGCCATAGGCCAGCTTCTTTCAGAACGTGTGTTCTGCCAATAGTTCTATGACAGCTGTTTCTAGTACCAGGAAAAGAAGCTAAAACATGCTTCCCAGTAAGAGCTGCCATAGCCATCCCCAAATGAAAATAGCACACACATTTTATAGCAATATCTAAATGTTATTACTTCTTTACCAATATACATTTTTAATCTCATTATTCTTGTCATACACAGGAGCATGTATGATTTACAATGATTTGATTGTTTTTAAAAGCAATACAACAGTTCTGAACAGTGTCATAGAAAAATCTAGGAAGTAGTGAATAAGTTAAATTAGCCAAGAAAAAGAAACGGAAACACAATCCACAGTAATTGGTGAGCAGAATGAATTTAAGGTTAAAAAGTCATCTAAAAAATAAAATCTGAGATAGCATTTATTAAGAAAACAAGAGCATTTGGTGATGAAATCAACAGACTGCAATAACCCACCCTATAAACAAGCAAACTATTCATGTCATTCATTTGTACTAGTCAGCTCCAGGTAATTTCAACAGATGTGAAAACTCTGAAATTCAAATGACACACCTATATAGAGAAGATTTTATATATATAATATATATATATATATACCTGACATATACTAGAAGCTTTAGATAGCCAAATCACCTCAACAGTAAGACAAATTACAGAGACCAAACCCACAATCAAAAGCAACATATAAAAATTAGTATTATTAGTCTAATACAGAAAACAAAAACTGCATTAAAGAGCCAAATGACTTAATCTGTAAATACTGTCTTATACAGACCTCTATGACATATCTCTAGCAACTATAGAAAAATTTTTTTCTTGTAGAGCCTGCACATCTTAAACCACAGACTAGCTAAAACTTGGTAAAAATTCAGGCAAGAATTTCTGCAAAGGGATGAGCAAGGGTTTATAAGAAAGCAAATGCTAGAAAGGGCATTTTTAAAGAGCTTCTGTGACTTTGTCTAAAGTGCAGACTATCATGACTTCCTCCCAAGAAGTCACTTCAAACCTGAAGTCCCAACCACCACAGAATACTCAGTCAGCCAAGTACTTCACACTTGTTTCCTTCAGGAAATAAACAATTATCCAACAACAACAACAAAAAAAATTACAAGAAAACTCCTTTATATGCATAATTACCATGAAATTCAATATAACTCAGAGAACAATAATAAGGAACATTCTTTTTTGACTTATTAAGCAACAATCTCTATCTCCCACTAAATGGTTAAGTTCCTCAGCTCGTTTTTACTTGTACAGATTTTTAAGCCTATTTTGTCACATGAAACTGTTACTGTCTATTTCTATGTAACTCTTTAAGGCAGATGTGGAGAGAGCCAGTGGGATGACAACTGCTCACACTTACACACAGACTACACATTTCACTCAGTATAGTTTTATAGACAAAGCAAGCACTGGGCCGTAAATCTGACATAACTCTTCTATAATAAGCCAGTGACTTAACTTTCTGCTGTTTTCTATTTGTTTACTCCTTAGACAAAGAATGGCCAGTTTTAGTAGAAATGGAAACCATATCCAAATAGGACTTTGATAAAGGTTAATATTGTTGTCAGCTTTGACAACACAAAGTGGAAATCCAACTCTAAATTACGTTGTGTGTGTAGAAACACACATAACTCTGAATCAAACAAACTGGTGGCCAAGCAAAGTCTCGTGCTATTCACCAATAAAATGCAAATGCACTTGTGAAGTGACTTGTGATTCAAATTCTTACAGAAGACAAGGGTGAAAGGAACATCAGATATCTACAGCTTATTTCTCATTGAAAGTCTTATGTTCTGCTAGAAAAAGGAAGATGGAGGTGAGGCTGAAACTGGGGATTAAGCCAAGGAAACAGTTTCCCACTAACTAATGTATCTAAAGCTAAGTGTTTTAATTTGGGACTAAGCTAGAACATGAAAGAAATTTTAAGTAGTAAAGTATACGTATTTGGTTACTTAAATACTAACTTTATTGTTTAAATTATAATATTCTGCTGTTACTCTTTACTAAATAAATATCTACACAAGTTCTAAATCTGGGTCCTAATGTGAAATGTGAGCGATATGTCGGTCTTGGTCCTGGACATATAAAGCCCTGCGCTTTCTTAAGTTATCCCTGGCAGTGCCCCCACTAAATCCTCAAGGCACAGATTCTAACTGACTGTCAGTTACCTCCCCAGTTAGTGAAAGCATCTCACTCAGGCAACTAAGTGGTTTCTTATGATTCAACCATTTAAATATGGCAGTGAAAAATGAAAAATTCCAAACTAAATAGAAATGAGGAAAGATGAAGTTAAAGTAGGCATTATAAAAACAGGAAAAGAAAAGCAGTTAAGGGTGAAAAAGAATCATTGAGGTCAAGAAATGAATTTCATCCAAAAAATAGACTCTGAGGAATTGATGGGCAAACTTAGGAGTGGCAGGGGAGGCACGTCTACACAAAGGTGGTAAGCAGCAGAATTCCATTTGGTTGTACTGTCAAGGTGCCAGAGCTCACAGTGCTCAGCCACGGCTCTTCTATTTTGGCAGCTTCCAGTTCAAGTTCATTTTGTCAACTACTGATTTGCATCTGTCTTAGACAAAATTAGTGATATACACTTTACGTTCCTGGCTGTTAGTCAGAAGAACCACTTTAGGATTGCAAGTTTTTGAATAGAAAAGATTTACTCAAATGTACAGTTAACTGATTATTCAGTATTTATACAATTTGGTACCTGCTAAACTATACATCATATTTTTCACAATATAAGAATCTACATGTTTAATAAATTACTACTGATTGCTTTGGAATGCTTGTAAAGTTAAAAAGCCATGAGTCAATCCTACAACTGGAAGAAATATATTCTTGTTCATCTCAACCGACAAAAAATATATTCTCATTCATCCTCAGAAGCAAAACGATGAAGTAAAGACAGAGGGAAAAAACTTATCAGATCTCATTCCTATACATGACACTTTCTGAAAGTACAGGTCAATTTCATAGTCACTCACTCTTATTAATCGCTGGCATGTGAATATAAATTCTGCTTTCAACATGGTGGGTTACCAGCTACAAATGACACACTTTTTGAGCAACTGTGAACACCAACTAGCCAGATGTAGGTTTCTCATGCTACATTCCACAACACTTAATAGGAAGGTATGCTCCTCTGTTCTTGCATACACAAAAATGGCACAACGAAAAGGGCAATTTGTTGTACTTTTCTGTCTAGTGAAAAACTCTTAGTATTATTTTTTTTCCTTCTGTCCGTTTAAAAGAGCCCAGTCCTCATGCTCACTGAACGCTTGTCGGCTGTACGCCACAGGACAACCGCAACCACTACTCTTGACAACAACAGGGAAAGGTCAGAAAAAAATGAAAGCGCAGCTCTGGAACCCATTTTCTCAGATGAAACTGTGACATACAGATAACTCAGAGGAGAACAAGGGCGCTGGTTCTGCATAACTCATCAGAGGAGAGTCATTTCCTTCCCAAATCTCTACAAACACACCAATCAAAGAGTGTTCAGGACAGCACCTCTCCTGCTGGTCATCTATAGCAGACCTCTGAAAGTTTCTGGATGATAGCCTTGGTTTCAGGTCTTTGTGATTTGAAGCCAAGGGCTACTGTAATGTCTACTATAAAATATCAATATAGAAATACCAATTTCTGATCAGGTGTCTGGAGCAATCGAGTTTCGCTTTTTGGTTGTATGGCAAAAAGTATAAACTGAAGTCCTCTAACCTCTCTATTGTTTAATATAGTACAAGAGAAGTCAACAGTTACATCAGCTTAACCTACACCAACTGAAGTACACAGCTGTTAAGAATGAGGAAGTAAACTGGTGACATCCTTACAAAAGCTGTGAGGAAGGAAAGTAAAAGGGAAACAAAGGCCAAACAACCCAACAGCAAAACCCCAAATTCCCCCAGCACTGAGTCTACTAACAGTGAGTGCTGTTTTCCTAACTAAAAAGAAACTTTTAAAAAATTGGAAAGCAAAAAAGGGAAAAGCCTAATTTTTATTAATATTTGTTAATTCTTCAAAGCTAAAGAAAATATACATAATTAAATGGGAAGTATAGCAATTTCACTTTATTAGCCTAATGCAGGAGTATGAGGAAAAAAGGGATTGAGGTCAGGTACGAAGGAGAGGGTTAAAACTTGTGATAATAAGGATCCTTCCAAACTGATGCAGTCCTCAGTCACTGCGACGTCACCTCTGCCCACGCCAACAGCAAACTCCGACTCCTGTCTCCACTTCTAAGCCTAACACGTCCTCCAGTGACTCCCCAGGTTACAGTGTGATGAGGTCTACCAGATTGCCTTTAGGAGGAGTCATGTTGTCAGGAAAGAAATTTACTAAGGTGTCAAAGAGCTGAGTTCTCTGAGCATAGGTGTGATCCACATCTGAAAAGCCTGGGGAAGAAAAGAAAACAATGTATGTATTAGTTCAAAAATTCAACACAACAGGAAAGTTAATGTTACCAGCATCATCTACAATGTGAAATCAAAATCAAGACAGGCTTCAAAACTAGCCAAACTCTACCAACATAACACCTAGAGCAGTGATTCTCAACCTTCCCAGGACTGTGACCTTTAATACAGTTTCTCATGTTGTGATGATCTCCCCCACCCCCAACCATAAAATTATTTTGTTGCTACTTCATAACTATAATTTTACTTCTGTCATAAATTGTAGAGTAAACATCTGTGTTTTCCGATCTTAGGCAAATCTGTGAAAGGGTTCTGACCCACAGGTTGAGAAGCACTGCCCTGGCGGAGGGCTGCAGCAGTGTGGACTTGGCACTGTGAGCCTCCTTGGCGCAGCACCCACTTCCTCACAGAAGTACAACTGTGAGATCCTGTTTTACTTCACAGAGTTCTGTGCAGATTAACTGCAACTATGTGGAACCTGCAGAAAGACTGCTGCTTTAGTAATTAATACTGACTTCTCATCTTTCCTTTGCTAGATTATTCCTCCACTACTTCATTGAGGAAATTTCACTCCTCTCTATCTTGAGTGCTTCTGTCCCACTGATGTTTTTGGTAATAAAATGTAACAAAATGACAACAACGAGATCTTTAGGAAAGCAGGCTAAGATCTTTAGAGGTGAAAGTACTACCAGAGAATTGAGTGAAAATACAGACAACCAAGAGAAAGAAATGTCTGTAGAGCACACAGGCAACATTAAGAAATGCTATTATTGCGGTTCTATGTAACATGGTTTAGACTAAACATATTTAATGAGAATAATTAAGTACTTTTAGGAAAATAAATACCAGAGGGTAGAAGACTTTTTCTTAAAAGACAGGGTTTCTTAACATAAAGGAGTCTTTCCTCCATTTACATCAAGCAACATTTAGTTTTCAAGTTCACACCAACCAATGCCCTGCTTTGGTCAGTCTGTATCTGTTCTCAGCTGCTTCAGACTTCTAACATACAAATTAAATAGTTATATGACAAATGATTTTCCTATTACTGAATGGCTAGCTGGGACATGTTAGCTCTCTGTTGCGTGCCATCAGAAAAAGAACCATGGCTGTGATAGTTTAGGGAAAACACAAATTGGACTGAGTCCACTCAACAGTTTTAGGTCCAATTTGTTTTAATCTTATAAAGAATAGAAATAGAACACAACATTGTCAAAGATATCAGCTTCCTGGAGGGAAATAATGCCTTGAGAATAGTTCATTCCTTTTTATTTTAAAAAAAATTGTTATTATTATTAGTTTTTTTAAGTTTGCAGGGGAAATGTTTCTTCCTTTGAGCTTAGTTTAACAAAGTCTACTATCATATCATAGAAATGAATAGAAGGAAATACTGCAAAACAGTAACAAAGCTTACTTGTGAAGGTGAGAATGTAACCGTTTTTCTTTATTAGGCATTTCTGAATTTTCCAAATTGCTTTACTTTCAAGACATTGCAAACACACAGAGGTGTTGAAAGTACAATGAGAATTCATTGAGAGCCTTCACTTTGATGGTAGTGTCTTGCTTGACATGTCCTTATTGTGGATGTATATATATATGCCCAACTCACCAACTTTTTTGTGGAAGCACCTGTGGGTTTTGTACATCCTCATTCCTGATTTACTGAACTCATTTCAACTAAGAACAGAATATCCACTCATATGACCAACCATTCCTCTTTTTCTTCCATCCCTGCCCCAACTCTATGCATACACATTTTCTGTGGTGTTAAGGAACAAATCTAAGACCTTGCACATGGCGAGTGTTCTGTCTCTGAGCTACATCTTAATCCTCACTATATTAAATTTGGGAAACTTAACATTGATGTTTTAATCATTTTATTATTCACTTATCTCTAAGCAAAAAAAAAAAATCTACCCCTACATTTGGATTTGAAGTCTCTTTGATCTGAATCAAATCTGCAGCTTCTCCATCTTCTCATGGCACAGATTCTTTTTGTTGCATATAGAAAAGTTGCATAGTGTGCGTGTTAAATTTGGATTAACTTTGTCTTTATGGTTCTACAATCAGACATTGGTTTATGCAGTCTTGGTAGAATACTACAGAAGTGAACTGTGCCCTTCTCAGAGCATCATCTCGGAAAGCACAGGTTGTCAGTTGGGACTGATATCGATGATATTAACTCTGATCATAATGTTAACTCAGCCTATGCCAAATTTCTCTGATAAAGTTTTATTTCTACCTCTGATATTAGTAATCTGAGAATGGGGAAAGTATCTGACACCACATATGTCCGTGTTTTCTTTTTTCTTTCTTTTAAAAAGATATTTATTTATTTATTATGTATACAATATTCTGTTTGTATGCCTGCAGGCCAGAAGAGGGCACCACACCCCATTACAGATGGTTGTGAGCCACCATGTGGTTGCTGGGAATTGAACTCAGGACCTTTGGAAGAGCAGGCAATGCTCTTAACCGCTGAGCCATCTCTCCAGCCCTGTCCCTGTTTTCTCAAACCCCAGTACTCAATGATCAGCAGTTACTAGTCACTAGCAATGATATAAATCACTGTGATCTTCTAACCGTGCTTCTTTCTATAGTTGCTAACTGGCATTCTGTTAGAAGGATCTCACCCCCCACCAACATCTGCTTTTATTCAAGACAGGGTTTCACTATGTATCTCTGGATGTCTGGGAACTCGCTCTGTAGACCAGGCTGGCCTTGAACTCACAAGAGATTCACCTGCCTCTGCCTCCCAAGTGCTGGGATTAAAAGTATGTGCCACTATGTCCTGAAATCTTCCCTTTTTAAACTAGTTTGGATCAGTGTGTACTCCTGAATTTGTCTTTTATTCAATATTAAACTCATCATTGTCACCAATCATTTTGATATTCATATAATCTCAGATTTGGCCAGTAAGAAATATACCCACAAAATTTTGAACATCTCCATACTTTCTCATATAATAAGCTCAAGTTCGTTCTCACAAAACCCTGTCAGTCATTTTTCCAAGGAGGCATAATTCTTTATAGTAGCAAATTATTTGAGAAATACAAAATCAGTTACACTAACAGTCAACATATCATTTCTAGGCCTGGGCATATAAACTCCACTATTAGAATCACCTGAGAGTTAGTAGTTTAATAAGGTCTCATAGACAGTGAGGGGACTCTAAAGTCTATCTGCTTAGTCTTATTGCAGTATATAGGGCCATAGGCTATGCTCACTTATTCCTCAAAAGTATCTTTACTTTCATCATTATTTACCAATAAGGAATCAAAACTGACACTACCATCAAATAGACTATGGAGGTCCTTAGAATACTTTCATAATGACAGAGCAAATATAGTAGTTTCACAAAAAAATTTAAAAGTTACACAATTAAATAAAATATGCTGTATAGTATATTTTTACACTGTAACAAAACTAGCATACTCAAAACCATATGCTTACATATGCACATATCTTGATTAAAGATTCTATATTTACAAAGTCATCTAATCACTGGAATTGATTTATAGTCCCACAATCAAGACTTGTGGCATTATTGTGAATATTTATAGACAAACGCAGAATGGCAGGATACTGGAGCTGCCAGAGCACATCCCCAGTAGAGTCTGCCTTCTGTTTCAGGTCTTGTATCACACAGCTGTCATTTCATGTTGTTCAATTCTGTGCTGTCGATGGTAACCTGGAGCTACAATCTAGTGTTTCTAAGAGTAAAAAGTTGTGACATGCCTTTCAGAGACAAGAAGCTAAACAAACTTCATTTAGGTAAGGGCTTTGTCCTCCTGACCATGAGTTCAATGTGAATAAATAAATAATGTTGACTAAATAAGGACATATTAAATAGAAACAGCAAGGAATCGATGTTATGCAATGATCTCTTGGAGGGGCTCACAGAAATCTAATTCTGAGTTTTTCACAAGAGTCACCTCAATTAGTGCAACATTTTCTAGTTCCACCCACTTTCCTGCAAATATCATTTTTCTTTATGGATGATCAAAATTCCACATATGTATACACCCACTTTCATTGTCTGTTGATAGACATTTAAGGCAATTCCATTTCCCTGCAAACAGAGCAGCAATGAAAAAGGATGTGCAAGTATTTCTGTGGTGGGATACAGAGTCTTTTAGGTACATGTCCAGGAATGACATAGCTGATTCATACTGTAGTTCTCTTTATAGCTTTTGAGAAGCCTCCACACTGCTTTCCACAACTGCTACACCAGTTTACATCACCATCAACACTGAACAAGGACCCTCTTTCCCCGTATCCTTTGCCAGAATTTGTTTTCATGCTTCCTTGAGGACAGCCATTCTGAAGACTGCAGTGAAATGGAGTCTCAAAGTAGTTCTAATTTGCACTTTTCTGATGGCTAACTACATAAAAACTTTAAAAGACATTTATGGGCCATTTGAATCTCTTCTTTGGAGAACTGTCTGTTTAGTTCACTGACCCTGTTACTGATTGGCACAATTAATTAATTAATTAATTTAGGCTTTTGTGTATGTGAGCTTAAATTCTGTATCTCTTTATATATTTAAATTGCCTAAAGTACAACTGGTAAAGATTGTCGCAGTTTACTATGTTGACAGCATTTTGCTATGCAAAGGCTACTTCATGTGACCATTTCCTACACTACTGGGGTTCTATGACTTTAGTTACTTCAATCACCTATTAATACCATTCCATTCCTAGCACCATAGTTTTTTCAAGTAATTAATTAATACTAAATAAGAGTACTTGTTAATGAAGACTAATACTCATATCTGAGAAGTTTGAGGGGAAAGAACCTTAAAGGAACTTGAGGAATGAATTTATCAACCATTAACAATTTTCACTTCTAAAGAAAGATAATTTACTTTCCAAATATTTCATTCCCATTTATCAACTCCTGACATCACACAACTCCCCAAAGAACAGAGAGAAAACAGCCCACCCAATCAAGTGTTGATTCCAAAGTAGTGTTACAAAGATTGGTTTATTTGACCATGCTTCTATTGCTATCAGCCTGCTTCAAGTGGCATATGAACTGTAAACTACAACCAGGAACTGGCGAGTGATGCCTGAGAAGTAACCTTTTAACACTATTAAAAATTGCATACAATTGTTTGAATGCACACCTCACCTAATGCTCCATACAGGAGACCAAAATCCAAACAAACATTAGCGCAATAGGATAAACTGCTGGCATACTTACCTAGAGCTGTGAAGTCTGAGCCAGATTTGAACAGAGCTGAGGCTAGGAGTTGGAACTGTAAAGAGATACAGTAGCAAATTAGCAGACACACTTAAGAAAAATAATTTTGTGACTTTTCATTTATTATAGCGGCTACTTTTAAGCATTCATTACACAGATCTAATCACCAAATGCTGGTGATACTCTCCCCCCCACACCACATTTAGATTGAAAAAAAAAATCATGTTGGTTTTTCTACTTTATTTTTTATTTTTTGAAACAAGTTTTCACTGTGTAGCCAGGCTAGCCTTGAACTCATACACCTCCTATCTCAACCTCCTTGGATGTCTTTAAATTTTCAGATGTTTATACACTGACATTTTGTAAGGTTCAACTGTCTTTTAGAAGTCTGAAATGGGACAAATATTCTAGATTTATCATTCATTTTTATTTTATGTCTATGAATGTTTTGGCTGCATGTCAATCTGTATACTATGTGAGTTTCTGATACCTATGGAGACCAGAAGAGGATGTTGGACGCCCTGGAACTACACTTACATATGGTTGTGAGCCACCATGTGGGTGCTGGGAACTGAACCCAGGTCCTCTGGAAGAACAGCAAGTGCCTTAACTGCTGGTAGTTATTTCCCCAGTCCCCGTCTATAAATTTTTTCTCATAGTAATATCTTTGCTTATCACAGCATAATTACAAAGGATTCACATAGATTCAGGAATTCATCTGATTTCTGAGTTTATGTAGAATTAATTACAGCTTTTTAAATGATCAATAGAATTACTGATAGAGACACTGGGGCTAGAATATTTCTGAAAGATTTTTAATTACAAACTCAACTATGTAACAAATATGGGATTCTTTAAGGTATTTTATTTCTTATGTCAGTTTTGATAAATTACATCTTTTTTTGGTAAATTACATTTTTTAAGTAATCTTCTGTCCATTACATTACATTCTTCAATGTGCTGATGAGGTTTTTTTCTATTGTTTCTTTTTGTTACTCTTCTCATATTGAAGTTCTAGTGACCACATCACTGTTTCATGCTGTGGTAGTTTGAAAGACAATGACCCCCAAAGGGAGTGGCACTATTAGGGGGTGTGGCCTTGTTGGAGTAACTGTGTCACATGGGAATGGGCTTTGAAGTCTTTTTCTCAAACTTCCCTCAGCATGACACCTGTTACCTGCATGCTGCCATGCTCCCCTTCATGATGATAATGGACTGAACCTCTGAAACTGTAAGCGAGCCACCCTCAATTAAATGCTTTATCAGAGTTGCTGTGGTCATGGTGTCTCTTCACGGCAATAAAAACCCAAAAATACACGTGATGTTCATAGTTTATGTTTTAATTTTTTTCTTCATGAATCTTGATAAGTTATTTACTTTTTTAAAGAACCACTTTATGTTTATAGCATGTTTTTTATTTCAATAATGTTTTATTTTATCTTGACTTTTTCTTTTTTTCTTTTCTAACTCCTAAAATGAAAAATAAACTTCACTGATTCTTTATGGAGAAGTTCCAGAGAAATCTGTTCTTTAACAAACTGACAATGTAAACTGAACTGATAATATAATTGTAACAGATATTGAACTGAATTACAGACCTCTTTCCCAAGTTTCTCAAATGTCTAACTGCAAGCTAAACACCTCAACCTGGTCTCACAGGCATTTCTTGGACATATGCAAAATTAGTCTCCTATCTCAATCAGGAGTCCCCAGTGTCTCCAAGAGAAAAGCACCTTTCAACTCGTTGTTCTTTAACTATATTTAAGCCATCATATGTCCATTCTACCTTTAAGTATACTCAGTCTCTAATCTATTTTGACTTCTTACCACTCCACTGTGATCTGAACTACCACAGCTTATTGTTTAGACTTCTGCCACCTCTCTCACAAGTCTTCCTGGTCTTTCCTCAATACAGTCGTCAGGGTGGTCTAATTAGAATACAGAGATCTTGTCATTCCCATGCACCATATCTAGAAGAGTCCTTAATCACTCAAAGTAAAAGCTAAAACAGTCCTACCCAGGTTTATGAAGCCATTCATCCTTTCCAATCTCTCTGTACACGCCTCATTTCACACTTCTTCAGTTCTTCTGACTTCTCCACTTCAGTAAGCATGGGCTTCTTGCCATTCTCCTAAACCATGCCAGAATGCTCACACACCTACAAGGATCTCTGTGCAGCTGTGGGAAAGTCTTCACTACACTGTCTCCTCAGAGACTCCCTTACGTTTTTCAAGCCTATGTGCAAATCTGATTTCTATTGAGGCCTAGTATGATGAACCCATTTAAAACTTCAACTGCCCCAATTCTTACCCTTATAAATTATGATCTCCTTTAGGCCTAACCTCCTGCCACTGACTTTTTGACACAAGGTCTTATGTAGCCCAGGCTGGCCTTGAGCTCACTGTGTTGTTGAGGATGACCCGAAATGGCATAGCCTCATGCCTTCACCTTCCAAGTGTTGAGGTTTCAGGTGTGGGCCGCCTTGTGCTGCTCTTTAACTTTTCTCACATTATATTAGCCTTCCATACTTAACCAAATGATAATGGACTATGTAATTTGCTTATTTAATATGCTTATTATATTATCTCCCTTATTAGGATGTTAGTACCTTCTGAACAAGCCTTTTCTAGAAAAAATATCACTTTATTAGCATATGTTAATTACACATAACAACATGTTTCATCATGACATTTTCATACATGTATAGTATATAATGTATATATACACCTAACTTTTCTAGGTCCCCTCTTACTACCAACTGATCCTATTTCTATGATTTTTTTTTTGTTTTATTTTGTGGGCTTTTGTTTCTTGTTCTTTGGTGGTTGTTTATAAACTACATCTTATTAGTCTAAACAAACAAATGAACAAACAAAAAATAGGATCCCGAGGGGATTATTTACAAAAGCATGGGCTCAATTTAATTTTTTATAAAGTTTATTGGAAGTTCATTACCAATTCAGAACCAAAGTCCTAAAGACTGAAGGAAACAAAGAACCATGTTTTGATTTACAATGGTAAATTATAGCTGTCACTCCTAATACTAGTTATAATACAATGATGAAGACTGTGAGAACTTCCATATCTATTCAAACATAAAATATTTTTGGTTACTGAAAAGTTAATTTAAATCATGAAAAAATGTGTAAAATATACAAACAAGAAAAAAAAAGAAGCAACCCAGAATATTGGATTATAAAGTAGTTTAAAAGTTAAACCTGCTTATCCATTTTGAAAACACAGCATAGTTTCATAGACCCACCCTCCCCAATATCAAGTGTTTCTTGTGTTTTGCTGTACATGCAGATAGAAGCAAGGGTGAGGGCATGGCTGTGAAGTTTAGAGATGCTCCTTATGTTCACAAGACATGCCACCTCACTGACTTCTAGGGCTAAGCAACTCTTGCTGAAGCTTTTAGAAAATACTGAGGAAACCTGTATCAGACGAAATGTACGATTCACAGATTATTAGAGCCGCTACCGATACTGTAAAGTGGCTCTGTCTGAACTTGCAGTAGCTCCTGTCCCGGTTTTCCACTAACTCCAAGAACACACTGTTTTCTCTGACCCACTCACAGCTTCCACAGCTGAGATTATTTACTCTGAAATGTTTTGTTTTGGTCTGGCTTTTAAAAATAAGGGGAAAATAAGTGTGACCAGTTATGGCCATTTTATACGGAACATGGGAAAATACAGGATATCTATTTAAAACTCTCAAACGCATGGTGCAACAAAAATGTTCATTAGTGTATTTTCACAACTACATGGTGTAATAAACCATGGCAGATTAAATTTCTCAGCAAAACTACAGTCATTTCCCACATTTCAAATGGTATCAGGAATCAGGTAAACATTCAAAAACAACCAACTTGCCGGGTGGTGGTGGCACACGCCTTTAATCCCAGCACTTGGGAGGCAAAGGCAGGAGGATCTGTGAGTTCCAGGCCAGCCTGGTCTACAGGAGTTAGTTCCAGGAGACCCCAAAGCTATAGAGAAACCCTGTCTCGAAAAACCAACCAACCAAACAAACAAACAAAAAACCAACAACCAACTCATTATCCCCAAACAGAGGGCTCTAAATTGTAGTTTGTTTATTCTATACCTAATGAAGAACTGCAGCCAATACTGAGTGAGAAAGACAACGTATTTTCACAGTAGGCTATGATAGAATGCCCGTTTTGGTTTGGAAAACATGCAGGTTTTACTGTCTTAAAAATACAATGATCCTGGTACATGAGAGAATTTGACATTAGTAAAATCTGTGCAAACACTGAAGGGAGAAAAGTGTTTAATACTGCAGTTAGAGAGCCACAGCAAGGAGCAATAAACACGGAAACAGGTAAGGGGCAGAGCCGTAACCCTTCAGCACTGCAGCTCAGATGCTGCTAAATGGACAAAGGAATCTCTGAAGCGTCAGAGATCCGGTGAGACACATTCACACACCGGATAGGCAAATGTGCCTTTAAGAACAGAAACCTACCTCACAGAACAACATCCTGAGACTCATTTTGGAAGGTTAGAAATTAGTTAAATGAGGTTAGTAGCCTATAATCAAGTTATACTGCTAGAACTGTCTTATAAATAAATACTAACACTGCAAGCATTCCAAGCTGCCCCTATTTTCTACACACAAGGAGAGGAAGTTTTCTCTCTGTCTCTCTTTCAGATTTATTATGTATACAGTGTTCTGTCTGCATTTATCCATGAAGGCCAGAAGAGGGCACCAAATCTCATTATAGATGGTTGTGAGCCACTATGTGGTTGTTGGGAATTGAATTCAGGACCTCTCGAAGAGCGGCCAGTTCTCTTAACCTTCTGAGCCATCTTTCCAGCCTTATTTCTCTCTTAAGAGATCTTAATGTCAACAGAAGGGCATATTGAACAACTGTATATAATCTTTGATGATCTATAAAAACTAAACTTAAAATAAATTCCTCCAAAAATACAGAACTAATGTCTAATTTAAAATTTCATACCTAAAAATTCTTTTTGAATGAGTCAAATGTGCCTGCTCATTCTTTGTCTTTTTCTTCTTGGATGGAGGGTGTTCTTAGACACCTTGTGACTTAGGTTAGCCTTTAATTAGTGATCCTTCTGCCTCAACCTTCCTAATGTTAGAAAGCAGGAATGCAGTCATTTAGCACCACACCTGACTCTCTCTGGTTACTTTTTTTTTTCCTTTTTTTGTTTTGTTTTTTCGAATCAGGGTTTCTCTGTGTAGCCCTGGCTGTCCTGGAATTCACTCTGTAGACCAGGCTGATCTTGAATTGATTAAGATCTGCCTGCCTCTGCCTCCTGGGATTAAAGGTGTGTGCCACCTACCATATGACCACCTGCTGACTTTTCATTTCACCCATATTTTTATTATCTTCAAGATCAGAGCATCATATTTTCTTCATTTTCCTTTAAGCACTCAAACTAGAAAAACATTTAAAAGAATAATCCATTTCTGAATTTTACTCCCAGCTTTACCTCTTTTGTCTCTTCTGGGTCAGAATGATCCACAGTTACATAAAGATCATTCTGTAAATACTTCAGAGCACTAAGAGGATCCATTTGGGCCTTTTCTTCAAACCTAGAAAATACAAAACAAGGGAAACAATTACTTTGAGTTATGAGAAATGCCTTTCAGAAGTGAAGAAAGGTATACTGCTTAGAGATGAGCTATTCTGGGATCTAAAATTTTTTGTAGAGCAGCTAGAAGAGTATGAATTCACTCAACCACAGTACATATGTTAAGTCCACAGAGATGCGACAGACATGCTATGTGGCACAATTGTGCTGCTAGAAAGTCTGTGACAGCACTTCTCATCTTCCCTATGAACAGTGTGTGTAGCAGATAGGCTCCTTGACAACACGTTTACTGTGCTGAGTTCAATCCTCAGAAGTGACTTCCCTAAGCTGTCCTCTGTCCTCTACACACATACTGCAGTGTGTGTACACAATTGTGCCACACACTCATATAACCCCAATGTATCACATCAAAACCAAAATGCTTTCTGAGACTAACAGACTAGACTTTCTGATGATAGTTCTTAATGTTTTGAAGCTGAATAAGGCACTTTTTAATTAAAAATATTTATGTGACTAAGTGTTTTGCCTGCATATATGTGTGTGTGTGTGTGTGTGTGTGCATGTATGCCTGGTGCTCAGAGGCCAAAAAGTACCAGGTGCCCTGTAATTAGAATTACAGACAACAGACCAACAGACCAAGTACGGCACTTTTAGTAAATACCATTAACACAGGTTAAAATTTTGGGGGGAGTGAGAATATAGATTTCTTTTTTTTTTTTTAATTTTCCCCCTTTCCTTTCCTCTCTCCAACCTTTCTCATGATCCTTCACTCCCTTTCAAATTGATGGCCACTTTTTCTTTGATTATTATGTTATACACATATATAAATATATAAAACGAAGCTTGCTAATTTCACTTAGTGTTATGTATATATGATTTCAGGGCTGACCACTTGGTATTAGGTAATCAGCTAGGGGGATCAGGCATGATCCCCCTAATTTTCCCACTCTCAGCATTCCTTAGTTGCCTGCAGTTCTTTGCCTAGTGACAAGATTTCTTCCTTCCCTGTTAGCAACTGACACTGTCATTGTTCAGGTCTTGTTTAGAAAGTTATATATCATTGAGGGTTTCAGCATAGATTATGGGTGTCACTTCCTTGTCATTTCTAAGGAGGCACAGTCTCACAGCAGACTTCCTGGTCCTCCGGCTCTTACAATCTTCCCACCCCTTCTTCCATGATGTTCCCTAGTTTTAAGGGCAGGAGTTGTGTAGCAGATGTATCCTTTAGGGTTGGGTACCCCACCATCAGTTGACCTCTATTTCTACAGCAGTTATTGATAACAACAATAGAAAAAAAACAGTAACAATTTACTAAGCATCTGAAATGTGCCTGATATTACATTAGGGATTTTATACATTTCATTTATCCTTTAATAACTCTCATAATATGGTGACATTTTTCACCATTTGTAAAAAAAACAACTAAGAAATTAAGGTGCCCCCCCCATCCTCAACAAATTGTGTCAAGATAAGAGCTGGAAAACAATCACAATCAAACACATGTGAATAAGTTCACAGTTGAAAAGGAAGAATTCTCTTAAGTTAAAGAAAAAGAAAATCTGCCTGCCATGGTGACCCGTGCCTTTAATTCCAGTACTCAGGAGTACTGGAATTCAGAGGTAGGTGAATGTCTGTGAGCTGGAGGTCAGCCTGTTTATAGAGCAAGTTTCAGGCTTCCCATGAGACCCTGTCTCAACACGGACACACAGACACCAACAAAAACAAACCCCAAGTGTTTGTAGCTATTAAATAAGATAGCGTTCTTTTGTTACAATATAATTATACAGATGATTACATGCGATGCCTTCAACAATGCTATGTAGTTAATATAATATAGACTGCTTAGCTTCCTCTGGGTAAGGAAGATGGTGAAGACCTTTCCCAGTGGTGTTCAGGCTGCTACTGCTTCAATGACTTTCTACTTTAGCAAGGACAAGATTAAAAGTGAAATATTTTGTTCTCTTGTACCAGGTAGTACTCAGATAAGAGACCCCTAGCAGAGGTCTATTACTCTACCAGCTTATCCACAACAGATTAGATAAAGGTATTGGTACCTGAGCCAAAGGCAATTGTCTCAAGCTTGAACAGCAGCTTATCAAGTGGCTTGGCAGAACCAAAAGATGGATATATAAGGATGTGGTGGTTTGAAAGAAAATGGCTCCCAAAGGGAGTGGCACTATTAGATGTGGCCTTGTTGGAATAGGTGTGGTCTTGTTGAAGGGAATGTGTCACTGGAGGTGGGTTTTGTTGCCTGCATAAAATGCGGAACTCTCAGCTATCTCTCTAGCCCATCTCTGCCTACACACAGCACATACCAGGATGATAACGGACTGAACCTCTGACTGTAAGTCACGCAATTAAATGTTTCCTTTATAAGAGTTGCCTTGGTCATATGTCTCTTCATAGCAATTGAAACCCTAACTAAGACGAAGGACATATAAAAAGTAGACATAGAGGAGGAGGGAGTAGGCTGAAGTCATAAAATAGTTGATCAGTCAGCCAGCTTGGCCTGCCTGCCTAGGCTCTGAGGCCTAGGGAAAGCAAGGTCAGAAGAAGTCAGCTGAAAAAGAGGACACAATGAAGCAAACAGAAAAGCTGCCGAAACTGTTCTAGCTTCACACCCAACTTTCCATTTGGTCTCATTACTATAATGCAGAGAAGTACCTTGATGCCTGGGCTATTGCTAAAATAACTGTTTCAACTGACGTACCATAAGCATACCCCAATCCTCTGCACTGTGAAATAAACTCAAATTTTACTTTCCATTCTATTAAGTTCAGTAAAGAAATCAGTTTCCTGGAAGCTATGTCTGCCCTCTTGTTTGTGAGTTTTGTTGTTTCCACCCTGGGCTTCTTTATGTGTAAAAAGGTGCTTCTGTGGTCTAGAATTGTTTAACCAACAGTTCTTCTCTACTGTTAATCATGAATTTGATGCTTTAAGAAGTCTTGGTCCTTTCTACACACAAAACATCATCAAGTTTAGAAGATGAATATTATTTGAAAAGTTAATGGTGACACTATTTATATCCTTTGCTCACAAGACACTTCTTTTCCTCAAAATCTATACATTAATTAAATAGAAGAAATAACTTTCCACAAGAAAAACAAAAACAAAAAAAATCACCCTAGTAGTGCATATAATCAAAGACTGTCCAATAAAGTATGATATTTCTATCAAAATGTATTAGTCACTTTATGGACTTCTATTCTATGTATATAGGAAACTCTTAAATTTGGCTAAAGTTTAGCAGAAGAAAAGGTTTACATGTTTTCAAACATTTAAAGTAGGCCTTCCATTATCCATTTGACAAATGTAGTAGATAAATGTTCCAGGGTCACCCTTAACACCTCTTTGTTTCAAATCCATACTTCTGTTGCAGACCCTTCACTGTTCATCCAGAAATTTACTGTCCGTTTTCAATCTCCCCTGCTGTGTGCCTCCAGACAACACTAAACCTCCTCTTTCCTCTCCTCATTCTGCACGCTCTCCCTCTGCTGATGACTAAATGATATAATGTCAGCTCAAGCCAGTTCTTCAAATGTTCACAGATGATTTCCCTGTTACATAAAAGCTTCCCAAACTAAATTTAGCCTTCCGGATGTATAAACTTACTGTTTCTGAAGAGTTCTATACACGTTATACCCTGTTTTTTGTAAGTCTGAGTGTGTTACTCATCTCTGAAAATCTAACAACTCCTATTTCTCAGAGTAAAAGCTGCAGCCTTGCAGAATTTGTCCCCATTTCTGTCCATTCAGCCTCATCCGCTACTTTCTGAGATCCTATTGGAAATAAACATGTTTATTTACAGGGATGCCTAAAAGTGGTTTCTGCATTAATTTGTCTAAAATACAATTTATGAAAGCAGAGAAAGATAAATAATTAAACATATGGTTAAAAAAAAAGCATAGACTTGCTTTATACATATGCAGACATTTTAGGCAATTATACTCTACATATAATCTAATACGTAAGTATATGTGATAAACATAAAAATGCACACATTATGTATACATTTATACTCACAAACATACCACATGCTGTGGTTACATGAAGCTCTCTGTAGTCAGAAAGGTCAGGATCAAACCCTCGCTTTGCCACTTCAGATGAATGACCTTTTGAGTTACATAAGTCATTCAAAAATTGCCTCAGTTTTCCACCTTGACAAAATAGTGAGAGTGGTAGTCTCCACTCTATAACTCAATATGAGACTAAGAATCAGAGACCAACATGCAGTCATTAATAAACGATGACCGTCTTCCAAACAATAATTTAGCACCTAAGACTGTACATTTCTACATTTTTAGTGGCTTGCTACTAAGACTAAATCATGTCTAATCAATCACACAATTTTAAAATTATTAGGCAATCGATATTTTTTCAACTAATACTTAGAAAACTTTACTTATTAAAAAATTAACACCTGTATGTATCCTTACTTTGCATCTTCCTTTGAAAGAATAAAGCAAAAATAAATAGACATTTACAAAAGTCAGTATCTTCAGAGCACATGACTACCTTCTTTTACAGTAACAATGCGAGACCTGCATCCCATAGCTAAGCCATATCAAGAGCAGCTGACAATGTTAACTAAAAACTTTTAGTTAGAAAAAATGTACTTTGATACAGGATCTCACTGTGTAGCTCTGGCTGTCCTTGAACTCACTATGTAGACCATGCAGTCCTTGAACTCATAAAGATCGCCTGCCTCTACCTCTAGAGAGGTTGTATGAAAGGTGTGAGCTACCATACCCAGGTTAGTAAATTATATTTATACCTGTGTTTTCTTATGAGGTACTTGCAATGCCTCAGTAAGTAGTCTTTTGAAGGTCTACACAACTTCAGTGACCAGAAGTCATCTAGTCTCATCTTTGGAGAACAAGATTTTCCTGGATTTCCACCAAATAAATAATGAACCTAGAAGAAACATGACAAATCAGGATTTAAAGAACTCATACATACTCAAGACTAGAGTACTCATAAGGAAATTTCTTTTACCAGGAGTACATGATAGTTAACTCTCTTTGCCTTATTCATTTGACAATTTTTTAAATTGATACATTCTTACCAAAGATTTCCCATGATTTTTCTCCATTCCATTTTAAAGTACTTTCCTAAACTACATGTGGATTAAAATCATACTATTAAAATTAAAAAGATAATGGAAATGAAACAAAAACCATGGTAGGAATAAGCTAATCCAACACATATTTTAAAGAACTACAAATAAAAGGGTTATCTAGTTAATCAAGTGTTGATCAAAATAAGTTATATTCAAAAGAATTTTGACATGAATTTTAAATAGAATCATTGACGATTAAGAGTATATTAAGACTTTAGTAAAAATCTTTAACATCTTACTATGATTTAACCTAAATGCCAAATAGTAAAAGGCATACATAACTTTCAGAGTATTATTTCATTGTTCAATTAATGCCAAACAAGAAATGTAAAATGATTACAATAGTGATTTCACCATTCAAGTATAATTTCAATGGTTTCCTTCTTTTTTTTTTTAAAGATTTATTTATTTTGTTTACAGTGTTCTGTCTGCATGTATACCTGCAGGCCCGAAGAGGGCCCCGGATTTCATTACAGATGGTTGTGAGCCACCATGTGGTTGCTGGGAATTGAACTCAGGACCTCTGGAAGAGCAGTCAGTGCTCTTAACCTCTGAGCCATCTCTCCAGCCCCTCAATGTTTTTCTATACTTATACTAAACATTAAAATATTTCCCTGAAATTTGAAAACATCTATATTTATAGTACTACAAAATAAGTATTATTTCTAGTCAACTAAATAAAAATTCTCCAATAACCCCTTAAGTTGGGAAACTCTAGGAGTAAGGGCTTATATTCATTTCCATGTTGTCTTTTATCTGAAGGTTTCAAGATATACAGCACAGATTTTAAATGTTCATCTACAGCTTAAACAGAAAAAAATTATTTCCATACAATCTGAGTCTAGTTGCTAAATTACACATCCAATTTAAAGAAAATAATTACAGAAACTACTCTGAAAACTTAGTGATACAAAAATTATTCTCATAATGCTGGTAGATAGGTCACTTATATAAGAAGTACATAGAAGAAATGACTTCCTATACAACTGGAAAATCTAATGCCTGGGAAGTCATATACTTGTTCCTTCTCAAAATGCAAAACATTGAATTTTATACTTGGATATCCACAATGTATATACAATGAAACATGTTATATATTGGTTCTATGGAATGAGATAGAATTCACTGATAATTTTCAGATTAGAAAATATGTTATGGTGTACATTTGTAATCTCAACATGTGGGAGGCTAAGGCAGAAGAATCTTAAGTTTGGGCTACATAGTAAGAACCTGTACCAGAGGAGGAAAAAAAAACAAACAATACAAAAGATGAAAAGTGCCAACAATTATTATGGACCATACAAAAGGTTTATTCTCTTGAATACTTCTAGGAAAAAACTGGGGCTAGTGAGATAGTCCTGCAACTCTAGCTACTTGGAAAGCTGGTGCAGAAGGCTTGTAAACTCTGCAAGGGCTACATAAAAGTGAAAAGGGGCTGGGAACAGATATACAGTGCAGTGGTAGGGTGCTTGCTTAGCATGTGTGAGGTCCTGAATTCAATCCTTATGTGTATAGAGAGGTGTTAAAAAAAGTAATATTGAATGCCTGCTATATATTCTGTTAAATGTCAGCCTCTATATTAAAACTGTTCAAATCCACTTAAAAACAATCAGAAATAAGATCTATTCAGGAATACTTTCAGACTGTAGTCCATTGAAAATGTACAGGCAAAGTGGTTTGCGCACCTTGTGTAATTCGTCATAAACGAGCTGATGGGCAAACCTTGGACATGGTTCTTCTTCCTGAAGACTTTTGCTCAGATTATCTTTTGCAGCTTGATCGTTCTTATAGACACAAGACCTGGAAGACACTGCTTTTAAGACACTGTACTTCAAAGGATCAGCAGCAACCACACTGTTCATGCACTCATAGGCAGTAAGCTAACTGCCAAGGCCCAATTATCAACAGAAGAAATGTACACTTGTTCACATCCAAGTGCAAAGTCAGTAACTCTCATAAAGGGTCATGTACTTGTTAGAACTAGTTCTGACATTTCAAAATAGCTCACTTCAGAACAAGCTCTCTTGTGCCTGGAAACAGGAATTGTATACACGAAGAGCTAAAAGTGAAGATGTGTTTTACTGTGTACTCACAGCAGAAGACTCAAGCACATTCTCATTCTGAATGCAAACAAAATGTCTTACTCAGAAAACAACAGATCCCACAGTAGCTGAGCATATTGTCATAGAAAATGGAGCTAGTTCTTGGAAGTGTTTCTGTTGTCACTGAATACGAAAACTGGATCTTCTGCAACTGTTTCCCAAGCAGAACAGGCAGCATCTGCTCTGCCAGATGCTCTGAGACAAGCCTTGGCTTAGGAATACTAAGTCAAACCTACCCTTCAGCAGCACTAGCACATGGAGATGTTAGCAGAACATAAGTTTCAACTTTACCTAGCTACTTGGTAACTTACAGCGAAATACAACCCTTTAAAGCCCCAGGACAGGAAGTATAAAGTGAACAACAGAGTAAATCCCACTCATTTAATGTTACTGTATACACAAGTACTGATCTTATCAACGACACTGATTTCTTTACATTACTGATATTTTAGGCCAGGTGGGGTGGCTCACAACTATAATCCCAAGCATAAGCAAGGAAACCATGAGTCCAAGGCCAGCTGAGACTATATAGTAAGTTTGTCTCAAAATATGTCACAAAACTTAATATTCTTTCAATATCATGAATTAATACATTGCTCCCATTCTGCTCATATTTAAATAAACCAACTTCATCTACATATTACTGGGATTTCAGCACAGACAGGAGTCCTTACCAGCTATTCCTCACAATGTCATAAATCCAGAATGAATTTCTGACATTCTCTTCCCTTTTTTCTTTGTCTTTGCTAAGTCCGGATAAGACATGTATTTCATTCAGTTCTGGATCAATAGTTGCTCTCTGTGTGAATCCTGTCATTGGTACTAAAAATGGAAGGAATACATAAATTTTTACAATATTTACAATAAACAGCAGTTCTTCATTTTGTTCTATATACCCACTGCATTTATCTTTTAACATACCCCCACAGCCTTTTGTATTAAACAACATGTGTACAGCCTCCTTTCTGCTCTAGAATGTGAGTAACATAAAGGTAGAGGTTGCTTTGTTCAGTACTTGATTCTTGGTGTCTAAAGTAGAACATATATGTGTGTGTATGTATATATATATATATATATATATATCACACAAATAAGAAGTGGTGGGGGGAGAAGGATTGACGAGGGGGAGAGAGGGATGGAGAAAGAGAACATGCAAGTGTGAATATGTGCACAAGAGCGAGCACCAGAACGAGAGTTGCAAACAACTTTAAAAATAAAAAGACAACTTACATAGTGTGAGCAAAGAATTGTACGTCATACATCTAAAAGACTTGTGTACAAGGTAAATAATTTATAATTCATTCTTAATTTTAAAACAGGTAAAACATTTCCAAGAATACACAGAATTGGTCAATAACCACAGTAAATAGTACTCAATATCATTAGTCCTTAAGAAGTATAAATCGAAACCATGATACAACACATTTTATGCAGGCAAGGTAACATACACCCCTATAATCCTAGCACTCGGGAATTAAAGATCAAGACTAGGGTTGAGGCGAGGTAGAGGGCTGTTGCCAGGACTGGCTTTTAAAGTACTTAATACACTCACTACACACATTATTTCTCCTTGCAGAATCTTGCCCTCATTGATTACAAGGTCAACAACATGTTTGTAGTCTCTCAGTTTTGCTGTGGTCATATTTGTGGTTATGTTATTTATCACCTCCCCTAATATTTACACTATCACTTTTCTTGTAAAGTTACATGTTTAAAGACAATAAAACAATTCCATGCATGTTTTCTAAAAGACCTATACAACATTTATTAGATGCTTCTGATTGTGCTCTTCATTTGGGCAAATTACTGAATATGGAAGTTCTGACCATGTTTTCTTTAGACTCATGGTTCATATACTTTGCTTTTGATTACATATGTTGTGAATTTACTGATTTCTTTTGAGACAGCAAGAGTCCTCTAGTGTCTATTCATGTTGGTCTGTGAGGAGATACTGTTTTTCAGAGAATGAGCAATATATTCTTTTAAATAAGATAAAGTCAGAGGCCATAACTGAACCAGTATCAGTGAGTTTATGGAAAACAGGGGAAGAGCCATAAAAAGAGTGATGGTGTAGGAGGTTCTTCTGTTTATGTGTTGCTTTCATCGGTTAATGAATAAAGAAACTGCTTTGGGCCTGATAGGGCAGAACTTAGGTAGGCGGAGAAGACAGAACTGAATGCTGGTAAGAAGGGCAGAGTGAGAGACTCCATGGATTTTCTGTCTGAAAAGGACGCTGGTTGGAATCTTTCCGGTAAGCCATAGTCATGTGGCAATACACAGATTAATAGAAATGAGTTAAATTAAGATGTAAGAGTTGGCCAATAAGAAGTTAGAGCTAATGGCCAAGCAGTGTTTTAATGAATACAGTTTCTGTGTGGTTATTTCGGGTGTAAGCTAACCGGGACAAACAAGGGGTCCAGCTCCTTGTAACAGAGTGAAGTCTATCCACAAAAAAAGTCAACCACTTCTGTGTACTAACAAATTCCTACATGAGGATTCAACATTTTTTCAACCTTTTGGGGGAATAAAACAGGAGCTAGTCACTGAAAGAGATAAGTAGAAGAAATGACCCGAGTTCCTGCTGTGGTCATCTGAATGAGAATGCTTCATTCTAGTTGGTCACCCAGTATCTCTCTGTCCCTGCTTCCCATTTATGGTCCAGATGTAAGCTCTCAGCTACTGCTCTAGTGCCATTCTTAGCTGCCTAATGCTAGGTTCCCTGCCATAATGGTCATGGGGTCTAATCTTCTGGAAATATGAATCCCAAATTAAACTCTTTTGTAAGTTGCCTTGGTCATGGTATCTTGCCAAGGCAACAGAACAGTAGCGAAGTCACCTGCATTGCACAATGATGCTCTTTGGATTCTGACAATGAATGGGCTACTGCTATGTGCTTCTATAAGGAGGGGACAAGAATTAATAACTCAAAGCAATTCGGAGAGAGATACTTTGGATCACTTAAACTACATTTTTAGACTCCACTTGCCTCTCCTGCATTTTTACTCCTCGGTTGAATTTGGGTAAAGAAATTAGCAGATTATGCTAGCTTACTACTCTGGCAATAATGCTTTGTACCAAAACATCCTACATTCTTTGAACCCTCCCTTATTAATTAATGCACCATTTTTTATAATAATAAAACTAAAAACTGGACTGAATAAAAATCAAAACTCCAAAAGAACCAAAGGTTAAAAAAAAAAAGAGTATTTTATCCTAACATTCCATAACTATTAATCTGGTCTTTTGTATTATTTCTTCCCAAGAAGAAAACAAGGCTGTATTTTTACTTTAATAGTTTTTAAGAGGTGGCAGGGGCAGTGTGTGGGGGATATAAGAGATTTGTAATACATGCGATTTATTTATTTATCTATTTATTTATTTATTATTTATTTATTTTGTTTTTTTCAAGACAGGGTTTCTCTGTGGTTTTGGAGCCTGTCCTGGAACTAGCTCTTGTAGACCAAGCTGGTCTCGAACTCACAGAGATCCTCCTGCCTCTGCCTCCCAAGTGCTGGGATTAAAGGCGTGTGCCACCACCGCCCAGCAATACATGTGATTTAAAATGTTTTTCCTTTCAACTGCTTTTAAAAAGCTTGACCAAATGCCAGAAACTTTCACCAGTCTCTACACACTGACTCACAGAAAGAAATGAATCAAGCAGATAAGTAAATGAGATCACAAGTTAACCACACACACATTCTGAATGCACACTTGTCTGAGATCACAATACTGCACACATTCTGAATGTACACTTGCCTGAGATCACAAATTAATCCCACATACTTTCTGAACACACACTTGTCTGAAAACAGGAATTATACAGCAAATATCTGCCAGTCTGTTATTATTGGTTTGTCTAAAAATTACAATAATGCTTCAAATTTCCTGCTGTGGGATAATGCTTTTGTACACTGTAAAGACGTGTCACTCGTACTGGCTTAATAAAACACTGATTGGCCAACAGCCAGGCAGGAAGTATAGATGGGACAATCATTCTGGGAAGAGGAAAGGAGAGATAGTCACCAGCCAGATGCTGAGAAAGCAAAATGAAACTGCCTCATTGAAAGTAGGTACCAAGCCATGTGGCTAAATGTGAACAAGAATTATGGGTTAAATTAGGTTGAAAGAGCTAATTAATAACAAGCCTGAGCTAATAGGCCAAACAGTTTATAATTAATATAAGCCTCTGTGTGTTTCTTTGGGACTGAACAGCTGAAAGACATGGCAGGACAGAAACTTCCGTCCACATTTTTCTACTTTTTTGTTAGCATCTTTAAACTTAAAACAGGACTAATAAAAGAAGAAGTCAAAAGTAGTGAGAGTCTGAATGTTATTTGTTTCTCCTTCCTTGGTTTGACCAGAAGATAAGCAGGAATGCCAGAATTTTCTACTTACAAGACAACAGGGGGTGGGGGAAAGTGAAAGAAAATATTTTTGAAGTTCTTTCATTTTCTGAAGAAATTTATGCTATTAATTAATGAACTAATATCACCTTTATTTTGCTTCATGGTCCAAAGAACATACTCATTAGTAATTTCTTTAGCTAAGAACAATCTCACAACTGAAGAAACATGAAACAAGACAGCTCTCTATGGTCTCTCTGTTAGAAACCCAAGTAACCTGTGCCAACTCCAGGACTGTCCTAACACATCAACTAACTTATAATGTTAAATTCACACCTCTGCAATGTTCTTGGTCTGCCCATCTTTCCTCAAAGTTGCTAGCTCCAGCTCTAAGTGTCACACACTTACAAAGAGCATTTAAGAGATGGAGTGGACTCCTTCAGCACCTCTCTATTGTCATTAGAAAGGACATTTTCTAAACACCATACAACACTGCCGTGTGTGGCTAGCCAGAACTGACACAGTAAAATGATACAATCTGTGAAAGGCTAATGATGGCAGATTGTGACTACGATTCATCCCTGGCACTGATACTGTGCCATTAAAGAAAACAATAAAAAGGAAAAGGGACGATGGCTTCTAAATAGGCAATAACAGTGTGAATTATTATTTTTTCACAAAGACATTTTTATTTTATCTGTGTGAGTGTTTTGCATGCATCTATGTTTGTATGTGTGCCATGTGGTCAATCCCCAGTACCCCATAGACTAGGTATTGTGGTGTAATTCCAACACTTGTAATCACAACACTTGGGAGGTTAGGCAAAAGGATCAAAATTCTCCACTACATGGCCAGTTAGAGGCCAGTCTGGGCTACAAAGGACTCTGTCTCAAAAATGGAACAAGAAAAATTATCATTCCAACTTAGTAATTAATATTAAGAATAACAGGTCATTAGCTGGGAGTCTCTGTACTGCCAAACTTGGTACTGCTCATTGGAATAATGTGAAAGGGGCAAATCCAAAGCAACTTCTTTCATCTTTTTGCTTTCTTTAATGTCAATAAGCATAATAAACACAGTCCCATGGGGAAAATTAAAGGATAATTTTGCTTTTAAGGTTTCCATGAAAGTAAACTGATAGAAAACCAAGACATTGCAGACATTATTCATACCACCCTGGTATAATAGAAAAAAAGGGTAAAATCTAATACTTTCAGGGATGGATGAAACTCTGAGCTCAGCTGGGTCAACCCTCTCATTTTCAGATAATCAGGTCCAGAGAAGTTATACAATTTTGCTAATGGTGAAGACCTAGATGAAGAGAGACCAAGTCTTTTGATTCAATTTACTGTATCAAATACATCAATTTGCTACAATAGCTGGAACACATGGGATAAAGAGTGGCAAGTATGGGAAGGCAGAAGACACATAATTTAAAAACTAAAACAAGTAAACAGGAAGCTACTACATTAGCGGGATGAGACCCTAGGAGCTCTGCATCAACAATGCATCTGCAACATTGGGAAGGCTTCACATACACTGCTAGCCTCAGCCAAACAGAAGCGCTCTAACACAGATGCTCTACAGCAATTTACAAAGCTAAGCAGGTGACAAATTATCTTCTAAACATAATTCTCAAGTGCTGGTAAACACAGAACTTACATGTGAGAAGTATGCTAAACTGCTTGTGCTCACAGCACTAATGCCAAAGGCAACATAGAAATAGACCAACTTTTAGCATACTGAATTTTGATGTTAAAAACACAAAGCTAAAAAATCTCCTTCTTTCTAAGCAACTATCATCCGCTAATTTAAATTATAATTTTCTTCTAAGGGAAGAGCAAAACTGTTATACACAAGTTAGAAAATAAAAAACCGAGCCAAGTTAGAAAATAAAAAGATTTGTCTTTCTAGATATTGATGTTAAATCTAAGATAATATATTTAAATAATTATAAAGAGCAATGGCTGGAGATCTTACAGTGCTTGACACATGGAAAACATCAACAGAAAGCAGCAATTTTGCTATAAGAGATAAACTGTCTCTAACTGGGGATCTCAACTGTTAAAAATTCTGCTCTGTGATTTCAAACAATACAATGTAAAACTCACATTGTAAATGTAATCTTAATCAAATAACCTACATGAGTGAAATACAAACTTATAATTATATATTAAGTCTATTTCAAGTTACAGTAATTAACTGAAATATAAAAACTTCAAAAAAAACCAGCTAATAAGCACTGGGATGGTTTAATACATTACCAAATATCTACATAATGGGTATTTTCTAGGAACATTTAATAATGTGAGAAATTCAATAGTGTTCCACTTCATTACTAAAAAAATTTTAGTGCCTTAAAAGATAAGTAGTGCCCTAGTAAAATAAAATAAAATTTAAGAGTACACTGATTAAAGTAAGGTAAATATAATTCTATGCAAACACAATACTTCCTGATATGAGCTTTTCTGAATAATCTAATTTTGTGCAGGATATTTTAAAAGGAGATTTATGGATGTGTCCTTCCCCCAGAGTTTCGTAATACCTCTGAAATGCAGAGTCAAGGTTGCATCTGTAATAGTGTTAGCAATTAAGGTCAGAACCACATGCTTTAGTCCCTAAACTATCTTGAGGTGTTAGGAAAGAATTTCAAGAGACCAAAATCTACAAGGTAAAATATGAGAGGTGACCAAAATTAGATTTTAGAGGTAAGATAGAAAAACACAAGAAAACGCATGTTATCTCTAAAGGTACTACTTGGTCCTGATGAAGCAAGTAGTACAGGGCTGCAGGGCCAAGCTTCAGCCCATCATGCAGGCAGGCTGTTTATAAAGATTCTTCTTATCAGAATTAGCTCTAATCAAAAAGTCAGATCAACTTTCTTGTCTTTTCCATGAACAAAAAGGGCGTATAAAGACAAAGCCCATACTCATACTTGTATTCCTAGGCCTAGTTTGTCGTTTGGCACCTAGTAAGTGATAAAAAACCACCTACAAATTAAACGTTAGGCCTATGGTCTGTCCTTCATAAGTCATGCAGTAGAGAATGGGCTGGGAAGAGGAAGGCAGATGGGGAGAAGAAGACAAAGGGCAAATGGGTGAGACATCTCAGATTAGTACAGAATAAAGTGGCAACGGGCAGAGACATGCTACAAAACTGAGGTTACTGGTTGAATCAATGCCACCTGAGGGTGGTGAGGACACCTTCTGGAGAAAACTGAGATACTCAACAGTACCAGCCAAGTAGAGAGTCAGTCGGCCTCTACTCAGAGAGGCTGTGAGTAGGCCACCACTTTTCTTCAAATTAATCCTGGCAATTTACAAGTGTATATGCACAGTCTGAGGTACTAGGTAAGCCTACCTGATAAGAACTGAAATAGGACCTGAGCACTAGACTGAGGCTCTCAATCCCTGCCAGGTACTCGAACCCTCTAAGAGAGTAAGAGGGAAAGCAGAAAGGGAAGGAATGAGAAAGGGAACAGGAAGGAAGGAAAAGGAAAGGAGAGGTATAGATGAGGGCAGACCAAAAAAAAGCAAAAAACGTAATTTCAGTTGAACTCTGAGAGGTCAATTGAGCCATTGTATTCTTCAATTCAAGTATAACTCTGTAAGAGTTTTAGTAGCATTTTCCAGCTTGTACAAAGCAGATGTTCAACACTGCCAGAAACCTTCTCAGTAAACAATGTAAACATGTGCACACATTGGAGCTTTTTGAGCAATGAAACTCCTAGGATTACTGTAAAAATCAGCCACTTGGAAATATATTATTAAACAAGACTGATATCTTCAAAAGACATCAAATCTAGACCCAGAAAATAAATACTTCAATAACTTTATTTAGGGAAAAAAACCTTTTGTATGGGTGGTTCTTCCTAACTCTCTACTCATCTTCAGTCCTCTGCAGAGATGGTTTCCCAAGCTCCTTTATCTAAATGACTCTCATGCTACTCACTACAACAGCCTCCAGCTTCTCTCTGCAGTGCTCAGAATGCAACTGCAGGTCATTTTCACTGGAATATGAGCTTTTTGAATTAGCTTAATCCCCAGAGTCCACATATGGATCCTTAGTGCCTAGAAAAATCCTTGGTAATTAGAAGACAAGAGAATATTTGAGGAGAGAGGGTCTATATACCTTAAATGCTAGTAAATAATCAATAAATATTATTAAATTAATCAATGGATTTGTTTGTTTTGTGTGGCTAATTCCCTATAAACCAATTAAAAACTCAAACAATGCACAGCAGAACTGTAGCTCTGATTTTGGAAGAATTGGCTGGAGCAGTGACTAATGAATGAGGTAAATGAATGGCCTTTCTGTTACTTTTAGTTTAGCAATAAAACTATGATAAAGAAAAAATACCACAAAATTAAATATAAAATTTAAAATATCTGAAATAAAATTTGATACAAATACCTTCTTAAAGGATTCTGAGATGCATCAAATGTCAATATTATCTCTGGATGGTTAAGATTTTTTTGGTATCATTCTGGCTTGTTTTTTGGTGTTGTTTTAGATTCTCTACCATAAGATCATTACTTTTCTAATTATGACAACAAAAAGAACTGCCACAACTTTGCTAGTCATAACTGTGACTAAAGATAACAAAGTTGTAAATAACTACTTTAATTAAAAGAAGAGGATTACTCAAAATACTGCTTATAAATAAATGATACCTACAACATATGTATTTGTGGCTATATGTGTGTTGGGGGTGGTGAGTGGTGGACGTGTGTTTTAGTGCCCATGGAGGCCAGAGCTCAACACTGGGCCTTTTCTTCTACTGTTCTCTAACTTACTAGTTTTCTGAGACAGAGTCCCACTGATCCAGCTGGACTGGCTGATCAGCAAGCCCCAATGACCTGCTTGTTCTATTCCCCAGCACTGGGGAATACAACCATGCCTGGCTTCTGAATGGGTGCTGGGGATCTGAACTGGGCTCCTCACGCTTGTGCAACAGCACTTTACTGACAGTTACCTCCGCTGCTCTGACACAAGTATTTAAAAATGTATTTTGTAAAAGCACCATTGATAAAAGGATCTTTTTTTATAAATGGCAGCTAAAATGAAAAGCAAGCTGATCTAATTTCTAACCCCAGTGCCAAACTGGGCCTTAATCAAATCGACTCTTCTATATAGTATTCACTGGTAAAGCAATTACTGTGTTGGCTCACTGAAAAGGATCAAAATAAGACTTTTAAAAACAGTAAGTACGGTGTCTTACTAGCCATGCCAGGGCAATGTGCATGAGCTTAGTAAAGAGCCACCTTAGTAGCAGGAGATGAGCTACTTAGATGACCATCTTGTAAGCTTGCAGGTACAATGGGCTGCATGAAGACTCCCTCAGAGCAGCAGACTCCACTATGTTGATGCTTCGTCTATAGCTCACTGCAGTGAAAACAAGTAGACAGCATCAGCAAACGCAGACTACTTCTTAAGATCGCTCTCTCTCTCTCTCTCTCTTTCTGACTCTCTCTCTCTTTCACACACACACACACACATATGTTAACTTCAGAAATTTGTATTTCTGCTTAAAAGAAACAGTAAATCCCATATTTTTAAACAAATGAAATTAGAGTTTTATTCCTCTTATTCAGAATTATTTCAACTAAAGAAGTAAAGAAAGTATGAAGGACGGTTAGAAAGAGAAGAAAATGGACATCACTTTTCTATAAAAAGTAGTTAGAGTGCCAGGCAGTGGTGGCGCACGCCTTTAATTCCAGCACTTGGGAAGCAGAGATCTCTGTGAGTTCGAGGCCAGCCTGGTCTACAGAGCTAGTTTCAGGACAGGCTCCAAAGCTACACAGAAACCCTGTCAAGAAAAAAAAAAAGCATTTAGAGAATGAGAGAGATATTCTATATTCTTACCCATTCCAGAGTCTTTCTTGGTGCCGTCTGAAATTATGTCTACATGATCAGAGTCCACATCGTAACTAAAGAAATCATTCAAATAGGTCTTAGATCGCTGGCCTCCAAAGACATATAGGCAACGATTTTTCTAAAAAAAAAAAAAAAAAAAAAAAAAAGGAAAAAGGAGGGGAGTTGTCATTTCCAATGAAGAATTCAGAATGATCTTTCCAACTTTCCAGCTCTAACAGTAGTTCCTATGAGATCCCACATAACCTTCCCTTGCTTGGATGAGGAGAGGCAGCTCTCTTCATGCCACAACAGGCACTGCCGAGGCCCTGCACACCACTTATTAGGACAGACAGCAAGGGCTGCTGCCTTTGTAGAACTGTCAGAGAGAGAAAGGGAGCATAAGCGAGCAAGCAAGAAATGTCATTGGATAAATCAAAACATGAAGGACACCCCTTCTTGTGCTTGAAATAAAACACAGAGCTATCTATAAAAGTACCTTGACTTAGTTTTATTTTATAACCATATATATATTTTTATTAGAATATTGAATTTAAAAACAAGCAAAAATGAAAAAAACTATCTGTATAGAAAGCTATGACTTTATGTATAAACAGAATTCTCACCACAATCAGAAGTATAATACTAATTTTTAATTCAGTTTTTGATAATATATCCTTATAGCCTAAGTACTAAATTAAAATTTAAACGGAAAGCAATTTTAATTTTGCAAATACTAGTGATTTTGCTGTTAGCTTTGACAACTGAAAAACTTTCACAGATGAAGCAAGTAAGAATACAAATAAGACTTCGGCCTTAAAAGATAAACAAGTACAAAAACCAAAGTGAGTAACTTAATTTGAATTAGATTTACCAGTGAGAGCTCATGATTTGTCCTTTGTTTTAGCAAAAAACAAATGTGTGTGTGTGTGTGTGTGTGTGTGTGTGTGTGTGTAGAAGATCCTAAAAATGACAGCACGGAATTTAAAGTGTGACGTATATAAAAATTCATGAGCTCATAATTACAAGGCTTTTTACTACCTCACTGGTTAACTTTGGAAACTGAATTCATTAACATGCAAATCAACAAAACAATCAGATATCTATCTGAGATAAGAGTCTTACTACAAAGCTCTGGCTGACCTGGGTGGCCTCAAAATCACAGAGGTTCCCACTACCTCTGTTCATATTAAAGGCATGTACAACCACACCCAACAATTCATTTAGTTTTTTTAAGATAAGGTTTTTCTATGTGTTTCTGGCCTTGAACTTGCTGTGCATAGCCCAGGTTGATCTCAAACTCATGGTCTGCCTGTCTTAGTCTCCAAGGTGCTGGGATCACAAGTGTGCATCATTAGACTTGGCCCAAAAATCATATGGTTTCATTTTAGAGTAACCAAACAAGTCATGACATAAAGAGGATGTTTTGTTGTTCTTTTTAAAAAAAAAATAGCCACATACTTTTAAGCCCAGCACTCAGGAGGCAGAGGCAGGCGGATCTGAACAAGCCAGTTCTGAAAAGGAGAACAATATGAATGCAGACCAGCATTATATAATATTAATAAACTGCTCGACTATGATGAGTATGACAATAGTAACACCATTTTTAAAAGTTTGTATCTGTTTGTCATACACTCTAGTATCATTTATAGGTGCAATTGTCCCTCAGTATCAGCACAGGTCCTCATCCTGATTCACAAATCAGGTGACCCCCAAAATCCCTTAGGATTTGTATATAACATATACATATCCTCTTAATGTACTTTAAATCATATCTATATTACTTTTAATACCTAGTATAGACTATAGGACATGAGAGCAGTTTTTAGTAAATAAAGGGTTTTTTAAAAAGTCTATACACGTTCAGTGGAGACAAAAAATTTTAAAAAATATTTTCAATTCATGGTTGCTTGAATCTGTGGATGCACAGCTCAAAGATATGAAAGATCTGCTAAATAAAGACATCTTAGCTGAGGTCTTCCTGCATAATAAAATGTAATAAGCTCTAAAAATAATAGGGAATATAATTAAAGTAGGAGATATATTAAAAATACAGAGTTTACTGATCAAACTGACAGATATGTACACTGAAATTCACTATTATCTGCTTTGTACTTCATATAAAGAACATTTTAAAACACGCAAGTTATATAACGTGTTCTAATACTTTGTTCGCAGAAAGAAGGATCACCTACTTCAAAAAGCTAAGGAAGATTTTTTTTTGTCAGTAAACTCTTGTTCTAATTCTATATAATTAGTATGTAATTAATTGAGAGTAGCAACAGAAAAAGTAATTTCAAAATTATCTACCTAATTGCTAAGAAAAGTTTGCAAATGGTTAAGTCTTTAAAAAGAGAGCTAACTACCCAACAGCTAGGTAGCCAGTAAAGTAGGGAATAGAGTGTCTACCTTTATCTTCAGGTCACAATCACTTAGGAGTTCCTAAGTTGATGGAAATGACTAGATGACAGCTCACTGCTAATGTTCATTTCTAGTGGAAAACTTTGCTTTCTTACTGATTTCTTCCTATAAAGGTACACAAGACACAGAAAGTCTTACTGAGTGGAACAGCATGCAATGTCCAATTCGAGACTGGATGTCCTCAGGGCCAGCGTTACAGGAGTCCTCCCGAAGAAGTTTCCAGGTTTGACACTGGCAATTGAACGCAAACAAACCACTGAATTGTGGTTCACTAGCTCTGCTGTCATCTACGCTGCCATTACATGTCAAAATTCTACCACCGAAGGTGTAGATCATATGTTTTTCTGAGTCCATGCACATCTATGAGAACAAAGCAACAGATTAAACAGTTTTAGTTTGCTCCTGTCATATGTGCCAAAATGAAATCAGTGTGTATGTTTTCACATCCTCAAAGAAATCCTGAACTTTGCTCTTAATGATACTAAATACATCTCTTAATTATTGTACACATATGATATTGTTCAGAAACTGAGGATAGGTTTCTAAATACCTTTTCAATTTTCATTTATCCCAATAAAAATGAATATACTGAGTTAAGTAACTTTGTTTTCTTGATGCTATGGTACATGATTTTTACCAGAGCCAACGATGAATCGTGATATACTGAGTTTTACTAACAGTGCACACTGATCATAACTCTATGGATAAACTGTCATCATACACTCCTCTCAATCTTCCTTAGAGGGAAGTATCTTACTTGTTTGGCAAGAGAGCAGATACCCAACCTGCAAACTAGAGATTCAGCTAAACAAACCTCTACAATTATTTTACAAAACTCTTCATATTGTAAAATAATGCAACAAGCCGGGAAGTGGTGCCACACAGCTTTAAGCCCAGCAAGTGGATCTCAGAATTCAAGGTCAGCCTTGTCTGCAGAATGAGTTCCAGAACAGCCAGAGCAAAACACAGAAACCCTGTCTCAAAACCAAAAAAAAAAAAAAAAAAAAAAAGACACAGACATACCATAGGGTGAAGAACTGTCTCTTTTTACTCTATTAATTTAATTTTCACTGAATTAAGCTATGCAATTTGATTTTTACACTCCTTAAAGTAAAAATATAGTCTTCCACAAAACAACATATGAAGAAACAACTGTCAGAAAATAGTAACATCAAATTCTATCTCAAAGTCAAGCTGGAGCTCAGATATCAAAGCAAGGAGCACTTACAATTGAAGAATCTGGTAGGTACACAGAACAGCTGTGCTCTTGGTGAAGCACAGTACTAGCTGCTACAAGTCTGAGTCTCTTCTTCCACCAAACTGCTTTTGTCATCGAATCACTCTTTAATTTTTAAAAGCCAATTAAAAAAAATAAAGCACTTCAAAAAAAAAAAAAAGAAAGATTCTAGCAAAGAGAAAGAATTTGAGACAGGTCTCTACATAGCCTGGTGTTGCTCTTTCCTTTTGGTGGTTTTTGGTGTGGCATTTATAACTGTCATCAGGACTACATATAAACATTTTTTTTTTATTTTGCTAATTCATAAAAACCAGGAGGAGCAGAGTATCAGCATGAAGATTCTTCTCCACACTTACAGCATACAGGACATGAAACAGAGATAACTTTATTTATACACTATATACTCCTGTACTAAGGGACATAGTTTTTTATTTGTTTGTTTTTCCGAGACAGGATTTCTCTGAGTAGCAGTCTTGGCTATCCTGGAACTCATTTTGTAGATCGCTGGCCTTGAATTCACAGGTATCAGTCTGTCTCTGACTCCTGGGTGCTGAGATTAAAGGTGTGTGCCACCACCTCTTGGTCTGTTTATTTCTTAATAAGGGTCAATTATCAACAAATTTTAATCACTCTGGGCATCTTAATGCTGTTAACCCAGTTTAAGGTTCTTCATTTTTTATTTTTGTTTAAATTTTATTCTATACTTTAAGCATTTATTTTATTTTAAATCATGCATATGTGTGCCTGTCTATGCATGCGCATCTGCACATGTACACAAGGTGCCCCAGCAGCTCAAAAGAAGGTGTCAGATCCCCTGGAGGTTACAGGTAGTTGTGAGACACTGGGCATAGTGCTCAAAACTGAACGTGGATCCTCTGCAACAGTAGCACATGCTCTTAATTGTCCAGCCATTTCTAGGCTCTGTTTTATAGTTTTTTTTTAATATTTATTTATTTATTATGTATACAATATTCTGTCTGTGTGTATGCCTGACAGCCAGAAGAGGGCACCAGACCTCTTTACAGATGGTTGTAAGCCACCATGTGGTTGCTGGGAATTGAACTCAGGACCTTTGGAAGAGCAGGCAATGCTCTTAACCTCTGAGCCATCTCTCCAGCCCCTGTTTTATAGTTTTTAATGTCTAAAAAATGGTTATAAAAACTTTTGACAAATGGTGATTTTCATAAAAATTTGGACATCGATTTGAAAGACTAGTGGGTGTGATGGCACATGCCTTTAATCTCAGCACTCAGGAGGCTAAGGCAAATGTCTTTGAGTTTGCTAGTCTTCATAGTGAGTTTCAGGACAGTTAGGGCTACAAAATGAGAACCTGTCTCAAAAAAACACAAACAAAAAACCCTAACTGATTTAAAAACTGGAAAACTATTTATCTACTCTTTCAGGCTACATAATTTCTAAAGCCCAATAAACAGTAGATGGCCTAATTTTCTTTTTCTACATTTTACAAATTATACTTTAACAAACTAGAGGATCCCCTGTTACTTAATACCTAATGCATAACTTAATATTTGTTCAGGGCATAAAGTCTTCTGGGCTTTTACATCTCAGGCTTTGCAATATTAAGCCAAATCCTGACTTCTCCTGGTGGGAGCTGATCTACCTTCAGGAAAGCAAATCTCCCTGCGCTGCTGCCGCTCAGCACCTGTCCACTGTGCTCTCCTCCCTGCAGACCCTTGTGAAGAGGTCACTCAAAGTATGTTTTTGCCCTGTCAATTACTTGGTCCAGAAAGGAGGCCAAGACACTGAGATCTTCAATTTTTTGTCTTGTTTTTCAAGACAGGGTTTCTCTGTGTAGCCCTGGCTGTCCTGGAACTATTTGGACCAGGTTGGCCTTGAACTCACAGAGATCAGCCTGCCTAGTCTCCAGAGTACTGGGATTAAATGCGTGCGCCAGCAACTCCTGGCCCTAGTAATTTCTAAAAGTGTTTATATTTAAAGGGCAGTTTGGTCAGATCTTGAAAATCTGGTTCACACTATCTTTCCTTGAACACCTTCTAGCATGCTGCTCTCTTGTCTCCCGGCACTTGCTGCAGTCTCACAAAGGTGAATGTGGTCATAGGGTGGCACCATGGTGGCACTACTGACAGATGCTGTAGACTTTCAGCATTGTGGCCTCTGGAAGATCATTAGACCATTAAGACTGTGAATGCAAAGACTGTGAGACTCAGCCTGCCCTTCTCGTCTGTGCACCTGTTCACATAAGTAGTCTGGTTCTGACACATGACTGTACTAATGTGTGCCCTTACCATAATCCCAAAGCAATAATGCCACCTGACCTTAGACTCTCTACAACTATGAACCAAAATACGATTTTCTTTTTCTTTATTTTTGTTTTGTTTTTGTTGTGTGTGCTTATTTTTCGAGACAGGGTTTTTCTGTAGCTTTGGAGTCTATCCTGGAACTAGCTCCTGTAGACCAGGTTGACCTTGAACTCACAAAGATCCGCCTGCCTCTGCCTCCCAAGTGCTGGGATTAAAAAGGCGAACACCACCACCTCCCGGCTGGTCTTTTCTCTGTATAAGTGCCTCAGCTATTTTATCACAGTGATAGAAAGCCAAAACAACAGCAAAAGTAGATATACAAACAGTCTCCTTTAAGTTCTAAGTGGATTAATAACTCTGTCTGACTAAAAATAATGTTTTAATTTTAGTTTTATTCATATGCTTTAGAGAGGTAGCTGGCTGCAAGCTTGAGCCACAAGCCCAGTCACCCACTGAGCTATTTCATCAGCCCTCATTTCTTTCCTAAGTTAGTTTCTTTCACCTACTCTTACCATTTAGTGATCACATCTGTATTGTTCAATTTACACTTTATAGTTCTCTTCAGTGTCACGCTTCAGTATGTCGTTAAACTGTCAGAATGCTGAATGAATGCACTCTTATCCACTTTTGTATGAAGGAAGTACTTTCCCCTCTACTATTTCCTTTAAAGTAGTTTTCTAAAGATCTGGTGTTGGTTGGTTACTGTTTATAATTTTTCACATATAAGTGAGTTGGTTTTCCTTGGACCCAATAGTTTGCAGAGAGTTCTATGGAAGAGGGACAGTAGTGTTTAAGGGCCCTGGTGCAACTGAACAGAGGTGTGTTTCTGTAAAGCCATGTCTTGTCTAATTTTAAGATCTCATCTGGTTTAGCAAAGGTCTATCCCAAGGTGTCTTTTTAAAATTACAGTTGTCTATTTTGATTCTGTATGCACATGCTTATATACCTGGATGTGAGCATGCATGTTCCAGTGTGCATATAGATGTCAGAGAATAACTTGCAGGAGTCAGTTATTTCCTTTCATGCTGTGGATGCTAGAGACCAAACTTGGCAACAAGCACCTTTACCCAATAAACCATCTCACTGACTGGTTCTCAAGATTTGAATTTCCCTAGCTCACTGATTACTGCAAAGGAAGCTAGTATCCCCACCTATCAAAGTATGTTTTCTTTTTAGAACACACTGCTCTCTTAAACCTGTTGGGCACTGACACTGCTAGAGGTTAATGCTCCGCCTCCCGTTACTGCTCTGTTCTTCCACTTAGGATTCTGCTGTACCACTGCAGGATTTCCCCCCATATCTCAAGTGTCTTCATTGCACAGTATGGGCTTTAGCACATGTACCAGGTTTTTCTGTTTTTTAAAATTAAACTTAGGGGTATTACGACCTTTCTCTGGCTCCCAGTTTTTTCTGGACATGTGATTTACATATGGCTTTTAAAAACCTTTCTGTTGGAATTCTTGCTGTTCTTGAAAACTAAGCAAAACAACAACATGGGAAGTCTGAGAGCTAACCTGCCATATGCTCACCAGAAATTCAGGTCTTTTAATTTCAATTACTTTAAGGTTAATATTCAAAATGGAAAAAATAATTTTTAAATGTGTCTTTATCTTGCCCTCATTCTTCAACATTTTGAATGTTAAGTATGAAACCCTAAAACATCATGGCACTACAAATAATGTTTGGAGTGTCATGAATATGAGTTAATAAGTTCTAACTTGCAGCTTTATTTACATGAAATCAAATGTACACTGGAGGCTTAGACAGGTGCTGCTTGCTCAGCATCATAAAAGTATAATTGTTTGGCTGACTTAGGACCAAATTCTGGTTTCTCCATCTCCCTGGTTCTCTTATACCAAGTGACCAGTTGAAAACTTAGCATTATTTATTTAATAGTAGCCAACATCCAAGGAGCATCCTGTTTTCTCAAACTCAAGACAAACAGATGATATACACAACTGTAAGCTATGGTCAGACTATGCCATAGCTCTCCTATTTTCAAACCCATACAAGTAATTTTTTGCAAAATTCAGTATTTTTTGGTAAAATATTAACATTTTTGGTCAAAAGAATAAACTGTTCCCTAACAATATCATGTGCTGGCATTCTGTTCTTAGAAGATCAGAATCAGCCTAACTTCTTGAACTTCTTTTTCCCAGAACAACACAGGATGCCAGGAAGAATGGCTTTGGAAACTCAGCCATAAAGACCCTGTACAAGTTCCAAACTCAACCAGAGGATCCTAACATTTTTATTTTTCACCTACAGTAATTGATGGATATAGTTCATCATTCTTTTATACCAGTCATGTATTAACAAAAACATGAAAATAGGATCATTTCAAAGCAAAACATTGTATAAAGAAACAATAAGTAAAGGCCTGGGCTTCAGCTGCGATATAAGACTTCAGGCCAAAGCTGGAAAGCAGCACAGCTCTATCACAACGCCAGCTGATAAAGTGAAACAGATCTCATCTCTCCCACAGGCTGAACACTGTTGTAAACAGGTCAAATGAGTAAAACTTCCTATGTGAACAACAAAGCAGTTACTGTTGTCTTTGACTATGATAGGGATGACGAAGAAACAATTGTCTTGTCCATAACACCATTACATGCTGAGTTTCAACTTAATCTAGAATGTGCCAAATTTTACATAGCTTCGTATTAAATTTCTGATTACAAATAAGACAAAGTATATTTTAGTCTAACTCTAGATTTTAAACTTATTAGCAAATGATTTTAAATTTCAGGGAAACAGAATAAAAATATTAACAGGGTAAATTGTAACTGTTATAGTTTATATATATTTTAAACCTCTAAACTTGTTTTTCCTAATATTGCTTCATCTATTTGCTATACTAAAGTTTTAAATAGGTTAACAATTCTATAAATATTAACAGCTTAATATTTATCCTATACCAAAAACAAAAAATGTAATAATAACCTTACTCTTCCTGAAAGAATTATCTTTTTACCGACCAATAGTGTCATCAGTTAGATAACACCATAAAAACTCTAAAGTAGACCTCTAGGAGCAAAAATTACTCAGCACTAGTTAATTCTACCATCATTTAACTGCATCCAACCTGATGGTCAAACACCAGTTTTGGTCCACCATCAGCAGCAGTGTCTTCACTTAGCAACATCCAGGTATTGGTGTCAATGTCATAACGGTAGAAGTCACTTTTCAGAGACTTGCTGTTCCTCACAGAGGAATCCAAGTAACGGCCCAACGTGTAGATTTGCCTCCGTTGAATGTCAATGCACATTTTATGACACGACCTGGCACTGGGACCATTCTGGAGAAAGAAGGGTGGAAAGAAAAGGGAGTGTCAAAAGCAAAGAGCAGAAATGTTCTCTTCTGTTATATTTCATTAAAACTCATAAGCAACTGATGTGGGTCTATCATTAAACTTATAATAAATCTCTAAAGAAAAGCAAAAGAAGCAGTAGGAAACACAAACTTTACCTAGACATGCTTTAAATCTGCCAGGAAAAAAATATGAACTATTTTATACTCTCTGGCACTTGTTATAACATCATATACATATCCTTGTATGATCCACTGTATCATATACATATACATGAACACAGTCCAATTCCCTATCAAAAATCTTCTTTAAGGCGTACTGGATCTTTAAAAATATTGTGAACAAAAAAAAAAGAAGTTTAAAAAATGTGCATGTATGGTCTATGTATGTATAAGGTGTGTGCATGTGTGTGTAGGCCTGAGGCTAATATCACCTGCCTTGGTTTGACTGTTATTCACCAAATGACTATAGCTTGTTTCAAGCTGATATAAAACTCACCAGCACATTTTCTCAGTTAAGATCTCCTCTTGCCAGATGTCTACGTTTGTGTCAAGTTGACAAAAACCAACCTATACACTTGCTAAATCCTGTTTACATTACTGTGGATAGATGTATTTCACTGAATCCTTACAAAAACTCTCCATATATAAGAAGCTCATTATCACTACTTCACAGTCTAAACTACTGTCTAGAGTTAGAAAACGAAGTGATAATGACATCTAAGCCCCACTGTAACCAGATTTTAAAACACTATAAAAACCCTGTTCTTTTCACTTCAACAGGCAATTGTTTTTTTCCTCAGAAGAGAGAAATAAGCAAAAATCTAACTGCTAATAAAATTTATATGCTCATGACTGAGATGACGAGAAATAGGAAGCCTGCTGAATGGCTACCAGGAGACTGGGTGTAATCTGCAGGAAATAAAAAAAAAAAAAAACCCACTATAAGGTCCTGGAGCAAAACAGAACAGAAAATAGCAATATCATACAGGAAGCAAAATAATATAAATAATTTGATTAATTGTGGGAATATTACACAGGAAAAAGGCTTGACATTAGTAATAGCAATAAAGAAAATAAGCTTGAGTGCAATCTGTGCTTTAATATTCACACAAATTATTCTAATACTTAAGTTTTAAGGTTTTTTTAATAAGATTTCATAGATAAGGTAGAAATATTATTTATGGAAAGGTTTATTCCATTATTAGATAATCTCAAAGAAAAAGATGGAGTTATATACAGTAAGCCCATGCCATATTCCCATTAATATGAAATTTAATTTTTAAATTAGAGACAGCACCTCTTGCTTCAGTCAAAGCACTAATACCATTAAAATGACAAGTAAATTATACCTTAGAGAGAACAAAAATTAAAAATGAAGATAACAGATAATAGAAAACGAGAACTAGAATATGTTATTTTATAAAGGAAGAGAAAATTCGACAAACATCAGAAATAAACTCAGAGATATCACTGAAGAATAACAGAAATTACAAGGAAAATAATGTTTATTAAGAAAAACATGTGGGCCGGGCGGTGGTGGCGCACGCCTTTAATCTCAGCACTTGGAAGGCAGAGGTAGGTGGATCTCTGTGAGTTCGAGACCAGCCTGGTCTACAAGAGCTAGTGCCAGGACAGGCTCCAAAAAACCACAGACAAACGCTGTCTCAAAAACCCAAAAAAAAAAAAAAAAAAAAAAAAAAGAAAAGAAAAGAAAAGAAAAACATGTATAATTTGACAACAGTTAAAAGTGTACGTAAAAATTTGGCAAATGAAATATGCAGATAAAATGGCCACAGTCTTCAAGAAAATATAACCTATCAAATGTCATGAGACATGACACAAAAATGCAAAGTCCTTCCATCTAAAAAGTGAATTTATCATTCAAAATCTTCCTATAACAACAGACTCAGATAACTGCCCTGGTAAATTTTTATCAAGCATCCATATAAAAAATATTACTAATTTTAGACAAAAATTTCAGAACTCATAAAGAAAAACTCCATTTTGAACTCTATTCTATTCCACTTCTAATAGCAATACAGAAGGAAGTTCTGACATGGTTCAATACATGTTCATGATAAAAAACAATCAAAGCAGGAATAGAAAAAAATGCTTTAATCTGATAAAAGATGATGACAATACGAAGCTACATTAGTGAGATTCTGTCTCATAAAAGAACAACAAATATCCAAATAGTACATTTATTCAATATTAATATATAAATGTTCTACATCTAACTTCTGAGTCAAGAATGTTTATTCTCACCAACTCTATTTATTTACCAGTGCTCCGCCAGGTCAACTTGGTGAAATGGAAAGACATTAGAAAACAACAGAGGTCATGAGGAAACGAAGAGAAAGAGTAAATGAGTTCTCTAGTCACACACATCCACTTCATTACAGTAAGTGGATTTAGTAAAATGGCGTAACACAAATGAATGCCTCTCTCTGGGGTACTTCAGACAGTCTATAAGGTCAAAGTTCTTTCCATGAAAATACTTAAACATTTGTCTCTTCATTCTCAAAGTTCCCAGGGGCTACATGACTTTCTGACACTAAAAGTCTGAACGCAGAACTAGATGTGACTCAACTATTTCCACTACTTTCTATTACATCAAACACCATGACTTTAAAAGTATAAAACAAGGCCATTTTATGTAGAATGGTTGTCTCAAAAAGCATTGAGTGTATTTTTAAAGTTCCAAGTTCATACAGAGGTTTTTTTCTCATGGTCTATATTAGAACAATTATAACTAATCAAAGTAACTTATTCAGTTGGGCACAGTAGCATATGCCATTAATCCCAGCACTGGAGGAAACAGATGCAAGCAGATTTCTTTGAGTTTGAAGCCAAATGGGTCTACATAGTGAGTTCCAGGACAGCCACAGCTACATTAGTGAGACCCTGTCTCAGAAAAGAACAACAAATATTCATTCAAATAGTATACTTATTCAGAAATTATGATTAAGAAAGACATTTTCTCAAAGGAAGAGAAGCATATGAAAACTGAAGTAAAATGGAAAAAAAATCTGTTGCCAATGATATAATACACCTTTTAAAGAAATAATCAGAATTGTGGAAAACTGCCATTGATCTTGACATCTTCTCAGTGTTCAAAGACCTTTCTATGGAAACTGATCATGATATGAACAAATGTATTTTGGGATAGCATATAATAAAATATGCCAACATTTATTTAGAAGTGACTCAATATTTTTCAAATAACCAAAACGTAAGTGAAAATGCATATACAGGCTTTAAAAAATCCATTCAATGAGCAAACAGGCCAATGAATTTTAGTACAGCAGGTACAAAGAACATGTAATATGGTTCATATGACAAGCTACCATAAAAAAAAAAACATGGCTATTTGGGACATGAGCTCAAATAAATAAACCAATACGCAGTTGCCTGGAACTGGTGCTAAAGATCTATCCTCTTGCCCTAGGTACATCTATAAGGTGTCCAATTTTCTTCATTTTTTCATGTAAAACATGTCCTAAGAGAGTAAATATATAAATAAGAATCTAGCTGTCCTTGACTAACCCAGTCATTAAATGTATCTCTAAAAATCTAAAAAAATGCTATTTTTAAAAACAGTTATCTTAACAAAAATATGTACAACTGTTTTTGTAAATTAATTGATAGATATTAAAAATATTTCTAACATAGTGACTTTCTGCCACGTCCACAGCAGTGACTGCCGTGTAGTGACAAAATGCCTCTGCGCTGGCTTTTGCCTGCTGAAGGATTGGGGTTAGAGCTTCCTGGAGCGAAGCCCCAGGTGGTCCCCCTGGCAATCAGTGGTCGAGATAGGACCTGATGCCATAGGCAAATCTCGTATCTGGAGATGGCCCTGAGAGCGAGCCCTCCTGACACCTTGCCTAATCTTTCTCTGTATTTCTTAATTTTCCTGTTTACAGCTGACCACTTACCAAGAGATCAAAGTGCGTCCTTGGCTCGGCCCCACCGTTCATTAAAGCAGTCCCTGAGGAAATAAAGTATGCCCCACGCCACATGAGCCTGGGAAACTTAATTATGAAACAGAAACGGCTAAAGTTGAAATGTTACGAGGGAATCATCATAGTGAATCAGATTTAGAGAGAAAAGGAGAATTAGAGAAAATTCCCCTTTATGGAAGGATTAGCTAGATCTCGGAAGCCCTGGTGTCTTTATAGTAAAGAGGAAAGAAAGAAAATTATTGAAAACATGAGACCAGCTTTAATATATTGGTATAGGAACTATCTTGAGTAAATGAGAAAACTATTAGGGAATATGGAGCAAAGAATAAAAAATTATATACATAAAAAGCTAGACCCAGGACCCTGAGAACTAGTCCCCCACGGTAGAATGTAGTTAATGGTGCGAGACAAAACAAAACTGAAAGTCCTTGCCAACATCTTGAGCAGGTAGAGGGGAGCACATAGAAGGAGCTCTATTTTGATTATGCTTAGCCTTGATTTATGTCTGGAACCCTGAGTGGGGTGATGTAATGAGCCTGCCAAGTTCTTTGATCTGTTTTGTACAAAAACTGAAGCTTTGCAGAAGTAAAATTGCAGCAGATTCTCACTACACAGTGTGTCTGTCTGTCATTCCCTTGCGTCGTATCCTGGCTATCCTATCCTTCACCCTGTTCTCCCGTGGATAGTGGTCTCCAAGAGGGACGGTCCGTGGCAACTTTCAATAAGCATATCCCAAACAAATTAAGAAAACACTAGCAAGTTTTTTTTACATACACAAAGGAATCCTACTACTCTAAGATTTGAAAATCACTAATATAAGTAAAATCCAGTAAGAAGAGCCCTCCCTAATTTCTTATTGCTCAATAATCCTAGGAATGAAGTCAGAGACATTTACTAAAACAAAAGGCACAATTTAAATGTGTGTGTGTGTGAGAGAGACAGAGACAGAGAAAGAGACAGAGAGAGAGACACAGAGAGAGAGACAGAGAGAGAGAGTCACTGAGACTAATTCTGGGCATAGCATGGGCTTTGAGGTTTCAAAGCCCACCTCCAGAGACACACTTCCTCCAACAAGGCCATGCCTCTTAATCCTTTTAATCCTTCCCAAATAGTGCTACACTCTGACACTAAACATTTTTATTCAAACCACCACAGGCATCTATATGAAGGAGGAACAAACTATAATAAACCCGAGCTCCAGTACTGAAACATTTTATTACCTACAAAATAAAAGTTATCAAAATAATCACTGTTCAACTTCATTTTTCATGTTACCGTGTGTGTGTGTGTGTGTGTGTGTGTGTGTTATAAAAAAATAATGAGCTGGGCACAATGACACATGCCTGTATTCCCAGCACAGAATATGTAAAGCCAGGAGGAGAAGCTCAAGCACAGCCTTGAACTATAGGCCAGTTTGCCTTATCTAGTGAGACCATGTATGTCTCAAAAACACATAACATCTGTACTACTCATAAAGCCTCACCCCAGCACACCCTATCCTGAATTTTACATTCATAATTCCTTTGCTTTACTCCAATACCCGCTTTTTATTTAATTGACATTATCTGATGATTTACAAAAGCATATCTATTATTTCTTTAATTTAATTTAATTTCTACATAATATGCTTTATGCCTATCAGGAATTCAGAGTCTAGGTGGGAAAACAAGAATACAAACCAGTTTCAGGTAAATGTGAGCGCACCAAAGGTGGTTTAAATTCTGCTTAGAGGGGGCTAGGGAGATGGCTCAGTGGTTAAGAGCATTGCCTGCTCTTCCAGAGGTCCTGAGTTCAATTCCCAGCAACCACATGGTGGCTCACAACCATCTGTAATGAGGTCTGGTGCCCTCTTCTGGCCGGCAGGCATACACAGAGACAGAATATTGTATACATAATAAATAAATAAATATTAAAAAAATCTGCTTAGAGAGCTTCAAAACAGGTTATACTGAAGAAGGGAAGTCTAAATTGAGTGTTAAAGAGCATACAGGCTGGAGATGGGCGATCTCACTGAGAACACGGGGACAACGCTGGCAAATGAGACAAGTGAGGACATTGTAAAATGGCAGAAATGGTCTGTGCAGTCATCACACACAGTTAGGGTATATGGTTGGCAAGTTGGTGGAGGTCAAACCTGCATGAGAACTGGAAGCTGTCACTAAATTAAAGAAATTGGGATAGGTACAATGGTTTTTATTTTGGGGGTTTATTACCCTCCCATACTTTCTTGTACTTTTAACAACCCACTATACATGGACTTAGCTATCTGACTCTTTTTGACAAATGAGACAAAAGCAAACTTGGTTTTGGTGGACTGTTCACGGCTATTTCATCCCCTGGCAGCCCTGCCTATAATTAAACTTTCCTTTGGGCCAGCAGCTCACAAATAATGACACAGAGACTTACTAATTATCAAAGTTCAGCCTTAGTTTAGGCTTGTCCACTAGCTATTTTTCTTCTTTCTCTCGCTCCCTTTCTTTTCTTTCCCTTTCCCTCTTTCTTTCTTTCTTTCTTTCTTTCTTTCTTTCTTTCTTTCTTTCTTTCTTTCTTGTTGTTTGTTTTGTTTTTGTTTTTGTTTTTCAAGACAGGGTTTCTCTGTGTATCAGTCCTGGCTATCCTGGAACTAACTCTTGTAGACCAGGCTGGCCTCGAACTCACAGAGATCAGTCTGCCTCTGCCTCCTGAGTGCTGGGATTAAAGGCATTTGTTACCACCACCCGGCTCCTACTAGCTCTTTTAACTTAAATTAACCCCTATTTTTGTTAATCTACATTTTACCATGTGGCTTTTACCTCTCTCCCATTTTGTGTGTCACATTCTGTATTTTTCTTGATGGTGTCCTCGATACATCTCCTACTTCCTTTTTCTCTTTACTTCAAAGTCACCCCTATACCTCCTGCCTAGCTATTGACTGTTCAGTTCTTTATTAAACCAATCACAGCAAAGTATCTTCACAGTATACAAATATCCCACAACACCCGCCCTTGTCGCAAGAACAAGTCCCAGTTAGCCTACAAATAGGCAGATGATTAAGTAAACACAGTCATGTAGTCTCAGCTGAAGTAACCTTAGACTAGCCAACAGCTGTCTCCCAAATGAGGGCACCTACCAACAGAATGACCCAGATATCCCACTGCCTCAGAAGCAAATAAATGCTTACTACTATATGCCATTAGAGTTCTATGAATGACTAATGTTAAAACTCAGCAAGGATCAAAACTAAGGTTTCTAAAAGATTATTCATTTACTAGTTTTGTTTCTTTAAAGGCAGGATCTGGGTGTGTGGCACAGGTTAACTTGGAACTTTCCTATGTAGACACAGCTGGACTCAAACTTAAGGCAACTCTTAAGATGGTCATGTATTCCTGTAATTCCGGGAAGAAGTATCACAAATCAAGGTCAGTCTAGGCAATTTCATAGTTGGGTAGAGTAGGGAGTGAAGAGGAGAAGAGAGGGAAAGTGACAGAGGAAAAAAAAGAGCATCAAAAGAATACAGACAAAAGGACATTTGAAATGCAGCATTGACATCAATGGACCTTTGGCATAAATTTGACACAATCAATGAATAGGGAAGATCTTAAGATGAGGTCTATGCTTACTGGAAGAATAGTTAGTTACAGATGTAATTAACTCAATCCAAAAAGGCTGAGAATAAATAAAGAAATTTTAGATATGTCTTTTATTTTTGCTGAGGACAGAAATAACCGTTTCAAAACATGATACTTCAACACTGAAAATGGAAGACCATTTTTATGTACCTGGGATTAGAAAAAGAAATCAGAATTTCAAGGTTTTATGGAAAAATAATTATTACCCAAATGATTAATCCTTGGAACAGACTGAGTAAGAAAGAACTCCATTTTCAAAGACTGAAGGCACACCACCAGATCTTTTGAAATCAGTCTTCCTAAACAAAAATCAGTGGGTTTGACTTAGGTATTTTTCTCCTTTGCTATTTTTTCTTATAGTTTATTTTCCAGTCTACAATCTGAACTAGCTTAGATGAAGAATATGGTAAAAGTTTTACAACAATTTGGGGGGAAAGATGAGTGATATTTGCTTTTCCCCTGCATATAATCATATAAGTATTTAATTCAAAGCCATAAAACAAAGCTATTTTCATTAGAGAAATGTTTCATTTATACATACATAGACACAAAAACAAATACATGTATAGATACCATTTCAATTAAAATAAATATCACTTATAAAAACTGACAGGTATAGCTTAACGATGAGGATTAAACCTGAGAAACGCATTGTTAGGCAATTTCATCATGTGCCAATATTCTATACAACATCCATATAAACAAGTATGCCTGTGATAGCCTAAACAATATCTTATGAGCCCACCACCATGTAATGGACTATCAATGGCTAAATACTGTTATGTAGCACATGAATGTACAGTGAAATAGTGAATAGTCAAAGTAGAGACAAATGGACAAAATGAGACAAGGGGCTGGAGAGACGGATAACAGTTAAGAATATTGGCTGCTCTTGCAGAGGACCTGGATTCATTACCTAGAACTCACACGGTAACTCACAACCATTCATAACTCCAGTTCCTAGGGATCCAATGACCTCTGCAGGCCCCAGACATGCATGTGATGCACATACGTGCATGCTGACAAAACAAACAAGCATATATTTCTAAAAAGCTAGACAGCGTAGAACTAAAATATCAATAGCACACTTCCCAGAGGAAATACAAACAAGATGGTGGGGCTAGACTACTCCAGTGATACTGCACTTTGAGGCTTAGGTTCCATCCTCACAGTGCAATAAAAAAATAAAAATAAAAAAAAAAAACAAGATGAATGTTGGAAACAAGAATAAAGTGCTAAGGCACGAAAAGAAATTATATGATTATATTTCTAAGGTAAAGTAGCTTAAAATTAAAAAAAAAAACTATTGCTATTTAATGCTACAAAGTAGACTTGGCTACACCAGTAATTGATGAACCAGGGATAGAAATTCAAATGCAAGATTTCTTACATCCAATTTATTTTCTTCAAAATTCTTTTGCACTACCACTGCTGGGAAGCATCAGAGAAGAAAACAAGCATGCAGCAGTGTAAACCCATGAAAGAAAAGACTAGGAACTTGCCTCTTTCTCAGTGTCTCTAGAGATACATGTCCACTGGTTCTCCTTCACACTGTATGCCCAGAAGTCAGCAAGATCTTGTGTTCCATCCCAGCCACCAAACAAATAAACAGTCTCTATGAAAATCAAAAAGGTATGTATTAAAAAAAAGCCACAGGGACAAGGGTTAAGGACCAGACTCACTCAATTGTTTCAAAGAATATTTAAGAAGGTACTTTTCATTGTTTTCACAGTATTATTGTTAAACTTGTAGCTTTCAAAATGTGCTCTAGCCGTTCTTAAACCTAAGTATATGGAAAGACTGCTGTAGAAACATGTTTTGCAAATTTATTTAAAAAATCAGATCCAGATCACTAGGCCATGTCCCCCAAGATTCTGATTCCAAAGTTCTTTAGTGGCTAAAAAGTCTGTATTTTTAAAGTATCCCAGATGAATCTGGTACAGCCAGTTTAAGAACTGGTCTATTGAACCGTGTAAAATTTATATTTACCAGCTTCTTAACAATGCAGCCAAATTTTAGCTACTAAAGGCTGACAGAGTTACTCAAAACTGTAAAAGTCTCAAAATTTAAAGAAATGCAAAATTCAAGAGTAACATGAGGACATGTAGCTGTTACTGGGGGGGGTGGGGTATGAGAAAGGATCACATTAAAGGTGATGTCTCCCTAATGCCAAAGCAATGGTTAAAACTAGCTGGAAGTTAAGAATAAACTGATAGATAACAATGGTAAACCCATGAAAATTGGGCTAATATGTCCCCAAATATATTGTAGTAGTCTTCCTTTTCAAGGATTAACCTAATATTTTGAGAAATCAATTTCTTGTCACTCTGAAGTGTCTGTTGCACTTATAGACAAAATTTTTCTCAGTGAATCTTTACACCTGATACCATATCACAGATCCCTCCCTATACAATGCCTCTCTGTTTTTGTTAAATAATTCCCCCTCTGCAAAAATGTTACACCTACTGATTACAAACTGTCAAGCCACTGACCCTTTGAAGCGTGTGTTTTAAGACTACATATACTCATGGCAGCTATCATCTAACCATAAAGATGTAAAATTCAAAACTACATGTGGACTCCACTTACAGTTGGGTTGTCATCTAAGGTTCTGTCATGTTTTCATATAACTTAAAATGGTAAGTAAATTTTCCAAGTGCTTCAGTGCTGCCAGTGTAAGAACAACCCACTAGAGGAAGACTCAGTTCTAGTTGCTCACTGGACACTATGGTCTGAAAATGAAATGCCCCCCTGATGGGGGAAGGACATTGGTTAATTATAATAAAGAAACTGCCTCGGCCCTCATAGGACAGAAAATTAGGTGGGTGGAGAAAACAGAAGAGAATTCTGGGAGAAAGAAGCTTAGTGGAGGAGTCGCCATGGTTCTCCCACTCCAGACAGACGCAGGTTAAGATCCTCTCTGGTAAGCCAGCTCAAGGGCTACACAGAATATTAGAAATGGGTTAGAACAATATGTAAGAGCTAGCCAATAAGAAACTGGAACTAGCCGGGCCAGGCAGTGTTTGAAAGAATACAGTTTCCGTGTAATTATTTCTGGGCATAAGCTAGCCATGCGGGCGGCCGGGTGCCGGGGACGCAGCCCTGCCGCCGCTCCTATTTCAACACCCCCCAAAGGCTATTCTTGAAGGTTTGGTCCTAGCTGGTGGCACTAGTCTAGAGATTTCTGGAAATCTCAGAAGGAGGCCTTAGCTGTAAGAGGCAGGTCACAAGGAGTGAGTCCTGTGAGACAATATACTGCCCTGGCACTCTTGCCCTCTCTCTTTCCTGGCTACAATGCTATGAGTTCTCCTAAACTCTTCATAGGCTGGTAGATAAAAATTCCCTAAAAAACATAAGCCTAAACTGTTTGTCACAGTCACAAAAAGTTTTGATAATATAGAAATTTGATGCTAGAGAAGGAGGGTTGTTGCTGGTGAGTAACCAAGGCCATATGATTCTTTGGAATTGGTTTGCAGAAAGTTTGTAGACGATACTTAGGATGCTAGAGATAGAGCTTAGTCGGCAATTCCAGCAGAAGCTCAGAAGGTGAGAAGACATGGTCACTGCTAGCTGCTTTTAGTTTACAGAGAAAACTGAGAACAAAACGCAGATAGAAAGATTTGAAAAACGTTGTTTAGAAAAACTGTATACACATTTGTAACTAAGAAGGACATGGTTTCTGAACTGCTTCGAATCATTAAAGAAGCTACTAGCTTCTTCTCAATGAGACAATAGGAAAGATGACAGGGAAGCACCTTAGGAATTGGCCAGATGAACACCCATAGCAAAGAGTAAATAAATTAGAAGACTTTTCATTGAGAAATCAGTGCTTCTAGGGCACTCTGACCTCACCTATGAAGTTATTTCCGAAAGATTATTTAACTAACCATGCTAGCTAGGTTACCCAGGCATTGAGCCAACTTTAGCTAACAACAGACTTCAATGTAGTTTACCTGATGTTGGTTTCACAGATATACAGAGTCATGAAGGTTTCTACTTAGATTTCAAAGTTAGGCTGAGAAGTGAGACAATATGTGCACAGAGTTCCTGAAAGGGAAATGCATGAAGCTGCAAGAATGAAGACAAAGACACAAATGAACACCTAGGAAGTTAAGAGATTTCAGGAACATAGAACGTATACTGAGGAATGCTGCGTGTCAAGAAAAGCTAGCCTTAAAGAGAGACCATGAGGGTTGGAATCATCAAATGGTTAGAAGCAACCCCTTTTAGAGCTGGACTGTCAACGCTGTTTCTGAAATGCATGTCTTTTTCTCATTTTACACCATCACATACCCCAGATAATGGACATGAGCTACAGATACATTTCTATGCCTCCATCCCTCCACTCCAGAATGGAAATGTCTATCCTGTCATTTTATGTTAGAAATATATCTAACTTATTTTAAAGAGGCTTACTTTTAAGAGCTTGCCTTGTGTCTTAGCAGAGATTTTGGATTTGAACTTCTGTCCCCTACAGGCTCATTCTTAAAGGCTCAGTAACAGCCAGAAACCTTTTTTTCTTCTCTTTCTTCTCTCTTTTTTTTTTTTTTTTTTGGAGACAGGGTATCTCTGTGTAACCTCTGATTGTCCTGGGACTCGTTTTGTAGACCAGGCTGGTCTCAAACTCATTGAGATCTGCCTGCCTCTGCCTCTCAAGTGCTGGGATTGAAGGTGTGCACTACCACTGCCTGGCTAGAAAATGGGCAATATTTTCTCTTAGGTCCTTGACCTCCCTCCCTCCACCCCCCTTTATTCCTTCCTTCCTTCCTTCCTTCCTTCCTTCCTTCCTTCCTCCCTTCCTCCCTCCCTCCCTCCCTTTCTCTCTCTGTTTCTTAGCCACCATGATGCCTACAACAATGGACTAAAACCATGAACCAAAATACTTTCTTCCCCCAAGTTATTTTTCAGAGGTATCTAGTAACAGTGGCAAGAAATTAATACAGAGTGATCAAGCACAAGCCACTTTATCTTCCTCAGTCTTAAGTTTTTTTATTTACAAAATTCTGTTCAGAGGTTCCTCAGATTTAAGTTATACAAGTTGTCAAAAATGAACATTTCTATTTAAAAAGAAGGAAAAAAAAAAAAACAAACTTCCAGTTACCTTTCAGTCCTAACTACCCCAGACACTGTAACAACAGTATTACTGTACTAGATTCCAAACCAACCAAGACCTGGAATCCTTTTGGCACTGTAAAAATATGAAACAATGGTAATTATTTAAAGTACTAAAAGTCTATCTTATTTGATAACTATAAAACAATCCATTATCATTAGTTAAAATAACACTGCTTCCCAGATGACATACAATAATGTCCAGACACATAATTTTACAGGAAAAAGAATAAAGAATTTTCATATGGCTTAAGAATATTTTCCAAGACCTCACTATAACAGCAGTTAACCCTGTTAATTTCTGAAGCTGTAGAGGGAGGCCCATATCACTAAAATAGCAGTAGCAATCGACCTTTTGTTTTATAGTACTTCTGGGCACTCTCTGGATAAGGTTACCCTGGTTCATTAACTTTAATAACCCTTTCTCTTGGGCTCTGAGTTCTCAATGTTCTTTCTGAAAAGCAGGTCTCTTTGTACGCATAAACTCTCACAGCAAAGAAAACCCACATTTCCACAACAGCCTCATTGATAGCTGAGCAAAATAAAATCTGGCACAGGGCAAGCATCCCAAAAGAATTAGGCAAAGATGTTATTCCTGTTCATGGATGCTTTGTGGTCTGACTGAAGCAATAGTACAACTAAGTGAATTTTGTAGAAACTTAATGTTTTGATTTACCTGAATAAAAAAGGTGCAACAAAAATTTTAATTAAATCACCTCATCACTTAAATCTCACAAAGATAAGTCATATAGAAATAAATACCAGAAGGTGTCATTACTCCATCAAAGACAAAAAGGATTAACCTATACAACTGCCTAGAGAGAATTATGGCAAGAGGAAGGTGTAGAAAAGAAGAGGAAAAGCTGGAATCTTAGCAGGAAAGCTGGCTTACTGGAAACCCATGCCCTCCCACACAAGTCCTGTAAACATGTCATGATAGCCTAGGAACCTAATCTTCTTCAAGCAGCAAACTTGTCTTTCCATTTCTCCCGCTTTAAGGAATATAGACTAGCATGGCTATGCATTGTCCTAGCCCTTCAGCATATCTATTTGTTAAGTTTAAAGTACTGATTTGAACTCACAAACCACTGTAGGAAATGGAAAGAGATGGAATAGTCCCTTGTCCTTGAAGAACTTACCGTCTAGCCATAACTATACGGGTACATAAACCACTCCTACACAGAATAGACCAAGCGCCACATGACGGCAAAAGCACAAATGTTCTAAAGGGGAAGAGGACATGTGGCTGAGAACTCGGCAGATTTGTGGTAAGAGTAGTCTCTGTCCTGGAGTCAGAATGTGGCTTTGTCTTCTGGTCAGTAGAATGTGGGACAGAAAAAAAAGCCTTTCAAGCAAAGTAAAATAACAAACATAAACAGAACAACACAACAAAAATGTTTGAAAAGCCATAAACTCCAAAGTCAGGCAGATTGTAGCCCCAATCTTGACTCTATACCTACAGCTGTATGACACTAAAATTCCCTAACCACTAGTTTCCTAATGTTTCAAATGTTTATCTTTTGTAAAAATACAGTAAAAACTAAAATCATACAAAGCATGCAAAGAAGTTGTATGATGAATAACTAAATTACAGAAAATGTACAGAAAATCTGGACACAAAGGTAGTAGGCAGACAGGAAGTTTAAAAAGACAGGCAGTGCCGGGCGGTGGTGGCGCACGCCTTTAATCCCAGCACTTGGGAGGCAGAGGCAGGAGGATCTCTGGGAGTTCGAGACCAGCCTGGTCTACAAGAGCTAGTTCCAGGACAGGCTCCAAAACCACAGAGAAACCCTGTCTCGAAAAACCAAAANCTGGTCTACAAGAGCTAGTTCCAGGACAGGCTCCAAAACCACAGAGAAACCCTGTCTCGAAAAACCAAAAAAAAAAAAAAAAAAAAAAAAAAAGACAGGCAGTGACTAGATCATGGTCAAGATCCAATTATTATGGCCTAAACTTAATTTCATAGACACTGAAGGAAATAAAAACAATCTTAAGCAGAGCGGTTAGAGTCTGAACTTGCTGCAGAACGACTGAAAAGGAAGACACAGAAAACAAGAGAGAATGATGGTAATATTGTTAGCAATAGCCTATTTTCAAAATTTCAAGCCAATCTCATTTAAGAGACCACGTCAGGTAATCATCAATCAATCCATCAATTATTACACCATAAATCTTATAATTATTCTTTGGTACAAGAATATATCATTTGGTACCAGAACCTCATAAATCATGGATCTACTTACTTCTGGTAGTACAATTTACATATTGTTCGTGAATTAAAAATAAGGAATGTTAACATAAAGTAAAGAATTTGGCCTTTTTTACACCATTTGCACACCTTTTGTAAAATAAAATGGGCTTTTTTACTTCAAGTGCTCAAAAGTAATATCTATCATTCTACTCTAAGGAGTAAATCAGACTGCTGATTGTATAAACCTCCACAAGATGGCACACTATTCATGATTAAATGAGTTTGTCCATTTTGAAACTACAGACTAGATCAAATATGTGTTAACAGAGAAAGCCAAACGTCATACATAAATCAAGTGTCAACAAGAAGACAGTGAGATGGCTCAGTGGGTAACGCCTGAAGACCTGAGTTCACCTGACCACAGAGATGTCCCCTGACTTTCATATGCATATCTTGACACTCATACCCTAACAGGAATCATACACACAATAAAAAGAAGTACAAATATAACCACATGAAAGTTTGATGATGATTAACAACCCAAAGTCCTCTTTATTCACTTCATTAAAAACTTCAAGAAAAATTGAGACATATGTCTTTTGTTTGTTTCAAAGCATTTTAATATAAGTAGTTTAAGGTTCAGAAGGATAGAGGAGAGCTTCTAAATGACAAATCCCCAATAACTTCTTCAGGCATCAGATGATGAGTATGTGTTGTCTGAGCCTTTCCCCTAAATTCAGTAATAATTACATAGGAAGAATAACCTAACACAAGACAATCCATACTGAAACAAAATCTTTCCACACAAACTGTTTTACCTAGACCACAGATGAAACCCAAGACACAATTAAAGACTATTAAAAGGAGAGGTGTTAGATTCAGGGACTATAATCAATAAAACTGACATAAATACAGTAGGCCAAAGTAGCACATCCATCCGCTACCATGGTAAGTACACCATATATACATGTATATGTACAAATATGAAGAAATAATGAAAAGAACCAGAGACATATATCCTAGATGAATACATATATAAAAGCCCTTAATATAAGTCTTGGAAACCAAGTTCATCAATACACTGAGAAACTATATTCTACAATCATGCCGGTTTCATCCCAGGGACAAAGGATGTATCAACACATGCAAATTAGCAAATACAACATATAAATACAATCAAGAGGGCAAAAGTCACAGGATTATCCTAACAGATACAGAGAAGGCATCTAAGAAAATTCAACATACCTTCATAATAAAAGTACCAAAGAAACCAGTAATACAAAAATCATACCTCAGAATAATAAAGTATGTGTATAACAAACTAATAGCAGATATCATGCTGAATGGGGAAAAACTGAAGGTGTCTCCTCTAAAATTGCCATTATTATTTAATGCAGTATTATTATTTAATGCAGTATTTTAAATTTTCACCAAGTAATGAGGTTGAGATTGAGATGAAAGGGTTACAAGTACAGAAGCCATCATGAAGAAATTAAAAGCAGGGTCTAGAAGATAGCTCAGCCAGTAGAATGCTTGTCACATAAACACAAGGACCTGAGTTTGATCCCAACACCCACTTAAATAAGCCAGATTATCTACATAGATTGTAATCCCAGCACAGGGGGAAAGAGATTGACAACATTCAATGTCAACTTGTCTCCACATACACATGCATAAATGTGCAAAAATTTATGTATGGGTGCACACACACAAACATGGGACACACAGGTGTGTGTGTGTAAAATATATGCACACAAAATTAAAATCACATGACTGTAATAGTGATTCCCACTATACTTTTTTGTTTGTTTTTTGTTTTGTTTTTTGTTTTTTAAGACAGGGTTTCTCTGTGTAAGAGCCCTAGCTGTCCTGGAACTAGATCTTTAGATCAGGCTGGCCTCGAAATCACAGAGATCCACCTGCCTCTACCTCCTGAGTGCTGGGATTAAAGGTGTCCACCATCACCACTTGGCTGTCCCACTATACTTCTTAAAACTACAATTTCTACTTTAGACAAACAGGAATGGCAATACGGCCATTGGCCTCTTAGAACCTGCTGAAATTCCGTCCCTACTGTATAAAACAGTATGGTATAACAGATATCTATACCTTCATCTTTTGAGCTTCACAATAACTTCAATCTTCAGTCACATTGTTCACACTAAGTTCTTTCATGACATTTGTTTATCACTTGAATCTTTGTTTCCACCTTCAAATCCCATACATTATCTTTAAATTATCTTTTTTTTTCTCACATATGTTCTTTCTCTGTCATGTATGGTCTCTTTCCCACAGGTATCACAGTAATAAACTGTAATGGCATTTCAACTGTGTTTTAATAAATAGAGCTTGCCTAAAGATCAGAAAGTAAAACAGACCCACTGGTCACCTTTAATCCCAGTAGCCACACTAGTTGCCATAGAAACCAGGTGGTTGCATGTCTTTAATCCCAGTGATGCATGCCTTTAATCCCAGCGCTAGAGAGGATTACAAAATGTGAAGAGACAGCTCTCAGACACAGTCTGTTTCTAAAGATTCCTGGAGGCAGGATCACCATTTTGGACTCAGATTGAGGTAAGAGCCAGTGGCTGGCTGTTTTGCTTTTCTGACCTCCAGGCTGAACCCCAATTTCTCTGAGTTTTTATTAATTGTTCTCCAATAAGCACCCTGAAATTCCTGCCTAATTTCAGTATCACTTCAGGCTTTAAGTATCACAGTCACCTCACTGTTGGATAAAGAGCATTTTGCTGAGAAAATTAAAGAGTCTTTTTCAGATAGTTTCCTTCAGTGTATTATTAGCAAGAATTTGCCTCTTTAATAAACAATAGGCACGCTTGTTGCTCTGACACTGAAAAGCAAATGCCTAAAAGGCTACATCATATTCAAGCCCACTTCTGTATGGTAGGCTAGTATCTGCAAGGAGGAGCACAGATTAGGAAACAAAATCCTATACTTTGAAAGAAAACTTTTCCAAAGAGACTCTAATATGAGTCTCAAGTGCTAAAAGGCACTGTATGTATTTAATATGTAGTTTAAGGTGAAATCGTCAATCTTATTACTAACATTTTTTAAAATAGTCAAGATTTTGTATCCATACTATATTTTTTCTAATTAGTCACAAAATAATCTCAATCTACAAAAGAAGTATTTTTATTCCCGAGGTACTGGTCAGCACACCAGAGTAACAAAATGGTATAAATACTCTTAGAAGAGTAAACTGCTTGAGTGAGTACTGGCTTTGTACTAAGTGGAGCTATGTGAAGGACGCATCTCTGTTAGGGTATCTAAGGTCAGCTGGGCTGCAGCCTCCTCTCTGTCAACTTTCAGACATGCATGCAATTAATGTTATTCTCTTCGCCATCTGGTTTAACAAGTAACATTTAAATGGAAAGAGAACTGTATCCACTCTCATAAAGCATCTGAAATGCAGACCAATGATTCTGGCATGGACTGAGGAGCTCAACCCATACTCTAGAATTCTGCTGGCACACTGCTGGTGTAACTCACCTGTCTGAACATCGATAACCATCTGATGGCCCCCTCTCATTCCTGGTCGGTTATCTTCTCCATCACCTGGAGAATAAAAAGTATTTTCTATAAAGAAATAATAAAACTTTCAATTTTAGAGGAGTAACTTCACTTGTAAGTATATAAAGGGTAGTAACAAACACTCTGCATGTACTCCTTCAAAATAGTATAAATAAGTGAAAGGAAGAATAAAGGAAGAAATATCTTTGTTTCAACTATTCAAAAAGTTATAGGACTCTAGGAAATGGTGTATGTACATGTGTGTTGAGGATAAAACCCAGGTTCCCATAAAAGATAAGCAAGAATTCAAACACCAAGTTATATTCTCAGCCCTAAGATAACAGGATTCTAATATCACATTTGATATAAACCAGGAAGTCTGAGGTTTTCATCATAAATCTCCCATCAGTTGAATTTATTAGTTTGGCAAATGAACTTCCCTGATTTTTGTATGTAAAATTGACATCATCTAACTCTGTACACAGGATTTTCACAGAAGTACTATAAAATAACTGAAATGTGTAAAGAACACATTTTGTCATAGTGACAAGAAAGATTTAAAAGATAATTTAAATACAATAAACTAGGGTTGGGACTATAGTTCACTGGTAAGAATGCTTACCTAGCTTGTACAAGGCCCTTAGTTCAATCCATTGCCTCAGGAGAAAAAAACGATGTATAATAATCCACTCTGCCACCTATGCCACCATGCTCTACAGGAAACACGTGCTCTTCATTAACAGAGTGGGAGAACTTTAGGGTAAACCAATAACAACGGCCAGGAAGGACAGTGCAACTTACCTTTGGTACTCTTAGGAATGATCTGACTCCACCGTGGCTTATATTCCTGCTGACTGATATACTGATTAAATAGGCCATCTGCAAGTATTAAAAATAAGAATTACAGCTCAGCTGATTCTCCAACCTCCCAATATACTACCAAATATAAATAGTAAATGATTAGTTGACACAACAACAGAAACAAATTGCATTAGCAGCAGCCCATATTAAATGTATGTTTCCACAATTACTATATTCATTGCTATAAAGTTACTGCTGCATTCATGAATAAGCATGTGACCTCCATAAAATCCTGAAAGAAGGAAAACACTAAGAGGAAAAAAGTTGAGATGACAATTTAAAGATGAAAGCCAGAAGCAACAGAAAATAGTTAATATAATCTGAATATATGTTTTATTTCAATGAAAAACAGTCATATATACCTTAAAATCATTTTGGGCATCAAATACAAATGGGAAAAGAAAGAATAATTAAAGTCAAGAGGAATATTTGCTTTCTGGTGATTTTCCACTACCATTCTTTATTTTATTTACTACTTTTAAAATCTTTACCCCTTATAATAAATGGATTCTTGAATTCCAATGTCTTCCCCATGAAAAGTACTTAAGAGTTCATAAATTTTGTTACCAGATTACAAAAAAAAAAAAAAACAAAAACAAAAACAAAAAGAAACCGAACAAGCCCTAAATAAGAAGATATGAATGCAACAGCTTTGGCATAGGCACTTTATAGTACAACCTCAGAGAAAGAAAAAAACTCTTTAAAACACAAATTCTAGTTTTCTGTGGGTACAAAGTAACAGATAAAAGTACCACCAGCAGCAACTGTATTTATTGATGCTGCCAAATGTTAAAATCCATTTTGTCTTAGTTCATTTAATTCTAAAAACAACCCTAGAAGGATTTGCATCTCCTCTTCTAAGATGGGGAAGTACCTATTTAGAGAATTGAGGAACTTTATCAAACTCACACATATGTTAAGTAGTGGTGCTGGGACTCAGATTCCACTTTGTTTTCTTCTCAATCTTTGCTCGGTAAACTTTTCATCTACTTCCTGGAGGAGTTATCACTATACTATAGTGATTA